GAACAGACAGCGACAGCGACTTTGTTTTATACTATGTAATGATATGTACTAAACGCGAAAGTTTCAAAATTAATATAACACTTAGCATTTACTAAGGTATCATAACTGGTACTTTGGTAGATGTATGACGGCCACGGTGGTTTAGTATTATACCACTTTACTTCCGATGGTCTTGGGTTCAATTCTACGCACGGCACAAACATTTGTATTCATGTGTATGATTGTCTCTATCAGTCTAGGTGTTTGCTATATATAATATATATGTATTTACGAAAAATAACGATGGATTTGCATCAATTATCTAGTACTATGGGTACTAAATAATTGATGCAAATCCATCGTAAGATAAGCTTTAGCTAACTTAACTTGGGCCTAGATGGCGCTGTGAGAATTGTCCTGAGATTATTTCGGAAAGGCAAAGGCAACAATGATGACGTGATATCCATCATACTGTTCATGTCTAGGCGATGGTTGCCACTTGGATTCTGTTGGGCCGTTAATTTGATTTGACATTCCAGTTACGTAAAAAAGAGGCGTGTTAGAAGTTTGTAGAATGTGTGACTCTGTATGCAGCATCGTAACTCCTAAAACGGGCGGAATATCTTTGTTGATTCCACAAACAGGCTACCTATTACAGTGTTTTTAGGATTCTGTACCAAAAGGTAAAATGGAATCTGTATCGTGTGACTTTGAACATCCGTCCGTCAAGCACTATTTTTTTTTAATTTGAAACTGCTTTGAGAGCTTACACAGACACTATTCTTATATTTTTTATAGAAAAAAAAATATTTTTGAATGTATAACTTTGACACTATATGATACAATGAAACATATAAAAACCTTTTAAACGTATGTTTTTTATAAAACATTGGCTATATCATAGGTGTACTCATAGCGTGATCTTACCTCACTTAGATCTAGATGTAGTATGATTATTTTAATCTATTCAAAATAAATAAAATTGATGTGTCTAGTTATAATTTGAAATGAACAGCTTTTCACTACAGGTATATAGTAAGTATATACGGTACTTACATAGAAAAAATAATAAAAAATAACTGCCTGTCTTTGTGTTTATTGGTTCTTGCTAATCTCTAAAACAGCTGAATCGATGGTTAATACACAGATAGGTAATATAATAAAGAGTAGGTTGAGCTCCTTTAATTTAAAAAAATGATTACACTTTATTAAAAAAAAAACAAATTAAATACCACATAGATGAAGTCGCGGTTAACAGTTAGTTATTTGTAACAAAATTATAAAATTACTTATTTGTATACTTATGTATTTGTTGATAAACTAATTATGTAAGTATTAATATATGAATAATAACTATGAAAATTAATATATGTATGAAATATATATATTAAAATTAACTTAATAATAACTAGAATATGGGAGAGGGGATTGCCTGTAATGTGGACTAATGATCCTATTGTTAGCAATGTACTTACTATGTCAGGTTGACCTCCACGCGGTTTCCCTGGAAACCATCGTAATAAATTCCTGACGAATTTGCCACGATGGGCTATTGACCTGACGTGAAGTGAAGTGACGATGATAAAAACACCAGTGAAGGATGATAAGATGAGCATGTGACGTCATGCTCATCTTATCATCCTTCACTGGTGCCCCGCCAGCGTTACATTATCAAATTAGTTTGTATAAAGCTTGTGTTTCCTTGTATATACATATTAAAGTCATAAAAACAAGAAAGAAACGAAATTTGATATGTGTAAGTTACTGTTAACATATACATATAAAAAAAAGATATTGTAAAACTTTATACTAATAACTAAAAAATACCTAAGGACAATATTACATTATCAAATTAGTTTGTATAAAGCTTGTGTTTCCTTGTATATACATATTAAAGTCATAAAAACAAGAAAGAAACGAAAATTGATATGTGCAAGTTACTAATAACATATACATATAAAAAAAAGATATTGTAAAACTTTATACTAATATCTAAAAAATACCTAAGGACAATATTATATTATCAAATTAGTTTGTATATAACTTGTGTTTCCTTGTATATACATAATAATGTCATAAAAACAAGAAAGAAACGAAAATTGATATGTGTAAATTACTGTTAACATATACATATAAAAAAAAGATATTGTTAAACTTTATACTAATAACTTTATAACTATGCCTGTCTTGAACAAAACACAATATAATGTAATGTTATATAGAACTTAAATGATATAGGGACGATTGAAATTGTAACATAGTTAACTTTTTTTGTACAAAAAAAACTTCGTGAATAATCTCTTCATGCTGCTCAAACTAACACAATTTTCATTTCAGGTATATAAAAATATTGTAAATTATTAATAATTAGATTAAAACCCGGCTTCGCTCGGGTGAAATGTGGGTAGATATTTCTGTAGTCATCGGTACTTATGGAATATTAAAAGTAAGCAAAGCATAGATTTGTAAAGCTTCCTTCATTGTGTTTAATAAATATAGTAAATAAAAAATGCAAAAGTTTTTATACAAATTATATTTATATTTTTTTGTAAAACTTTAAGTTATTTATTTTTTTATCATAAAAAAGTGACAAAAACAATATTTTCGCGAAACGTCAATGATCAAAGAAAATGCTAGTGAAATGAAAAGATGGCGACTGCGGTTTGTTTGTCAGTGTCATTAAAATTTAACGAAATACTCCATAATCCGAATTTTGCGGATATATGTTGTCGACTCGAAATCAATATTTTTTTATGTTTTGTTATTCACATAAGGTTTCGTTCGAGTCTACCTTACCCCTTGACGAAATTATTAATATAGATTGTAACTGGAGCGGGAACTCAATTACTATTAATAAAAATCTTTAATAATAGTAATGAATTATATTTCCCAAAAGGTCTCACAGCGAAGAAAAAGTCAATAGTGACATAAAAAACAGATATCCAAAGTACAAATTTATAAAAAGAATGGTGGATAAGCTGCCAGCAAAAATAATAGTATACCTATAGTAAAAGTACCATACTGATAATGTAATAAACCCTTCACACATGATTTATATACACGTTCAAGAAAAACGAAAGCTCGAAATTTAAAAATCGTTGAAAAAAACGCATAATCAATTCTTACTAACCCAAACAAGCAATACTAAAACCATCTGTTCCCCACATTAGACCTCTTTTAAATTCATCACACACAAAATTAATTCGAACATAAAAACCTTAAATGCTAGTGAACCAAAGAAAACAGGGTATCTTATATCAATCTACTGGCAACACTTGTGATGAATGCCCTTTCTCGGCGCGTTTGGCTTTTAATATCTCTTTTTATTGCCCCTCGGAGTTGTGCGCGAGTTATGACTGTGTTGCCAAGTTATTTACCCTTGTTTCGCGGTGATTTCGGTTGTTTTGCACAAGTTTTAGTGTTTATTGGTTTGTCGTGAGCTATAATATAAATATTATTATTTAAACCTGCTTGTTTGGAAGATATTATATGTGTTAACAAAGTTGTTATTCGACGTTGAGACTAACGTAGACTACTTTAGCGATCTCTGCAGTAATTGTAAATGGATTTTGATTATTCTTTTTATCTTTAGTTTATTAATGTATATGTTTCATATTAATTAATATTAATCAGATTAATAGTCAGTTTCTATACCCATTAAAATTTCCCTTCACATCAATATTTTAGAAAATAAACAAATATTTACATTTATCTTCAATTTAAATTACTATTAAATTAAACATAAATTTAAATATTTACATTTATGTTTAATTTAAGTTACTATTAAATTAAACATAAATTTAAATATTTGTTTATTTTCTAAAATATTGATGTTAAGGGAAATTTCAATGGGTATAGAAACTGACTATTAATCTGATTTAAGGTGGATATGTCAGCGCTTGTCGATATATGACCAACACTAACATTATAATTATAATAATCGAAATAGGTATAATTCTGTGTATGACAATGACACACTGCGGCATCAGCTGAGTGGAGCCCTTTCAGCTCATAGCCAAAATTTGCTTTTAAGTTTTCTATATTTTTACTCTTTAATGATGCTGAATAAGTTATTATTATTATAATTTTGCGGAAGTCCATTTCATTACGTAATGGATTTATATTGGTTTGTTTAAATCCGCTACCATTAGCATGTGTGAGGCCAGAAATGTTGAGTGCGGAAACCTGACCACCGCTACTGGATGCGGTATGTGACGCCAATGGTACATGTGGTACCATTCTGGACATTATGATGCCTCCATACAAACTGCTTGTACCCTTGTAGAAGCAGTTTGTGTTTTGTAGGGGAAAAGGGGATTGTTAGTAATGTGAATTGATGATCTTATTGCTAGCGATGTACCATGTCAGGTTGACCTACACGCGGTTCCTTCTGGAAACCATCGTGATAAATTCTTGGCGAATTTGAAACGATGGGCTAACTGATCTGACCTCATCTTCGTCATCCTCCACTGGTGCCCCGCCACTGTAAACCGTTAGCGCAGGCGGGTGCACCATTACATTATCTATACATCAATACATCTATACATACATACATATAATTAAAAATGAAGTATTTGTTTGTGAAATTGAAACAACCATTTTTTACTACATGCATCTGAATATAAATACGGCACATACACCAAAATAACTTTTTGTCGCTCTGACTGTTTGTTCCGGCTAATCTCTGAAATGGCTGGACTGATTTTGACGGGACTTTTTTGGCAGGTAGCTGATGTAATAAGGAGTAACCTAGGCTACTTTTATTTTAGAAAAATAAAGTTAAATTCCACCCGGACTAAGTTGCGGGGGTATAGCTAGTCATACATAAAAAAACTGCTTGTTGGTACAAAGTTTGATAACAGACCGATACAAATAACTCATGAATTCGAATATTTCATCCATTAAACCGATTACTACTAACCCTTTAGTGATAAGGATTTGTGATTCCATTGACCATTCAGATGGGCTTCCACGTACTCCCTTTTGTTGTTCTTTGTTGACCATTTGTGATGATGTTCCAGATGAGGCGTCGGAGTTGGTGATCGCGTCGGTATGCAAGGCGGCGCCGCGCCTACAGCCGATGCCGACCAGGCGCAATTCGAGGCGGACAAGCGAGCCGTGTATAAGTAAGATTCTCAGCTATACTAATATTATATTCATCTAAAATGACAACAGTAAAACGAGGCGTGCCACAAGGTTCAATTCTGGGACCTATTTTATTTGTTTTATTTATTAATGACTTAGCAGATTTCATCACACATTCTACTAATGATGCTAGTGTAGTTATGTTCGCAGATGACACAAATGCTATCGTTTCTGCTGAAAGTTTACATGAACTGACTGAGAAGACGAATCACTTACTTTCCATTTTCGATACTTGGTTTTCTGCGAATAATTTAATACTTAACATAGACAAAACACATGCATTGTTATTCAAAAGTACAGCGAAAGTTAAGGACACCATAGATATTGTTGTAAATGGTAGAAGAATTGATCTGGCTTTCAGATTTTTGGGAGTTGTTGGATGAATATTTGAACTGGAAACGTGAACTTAACTCAATGGAAAATAGTATCAGTTCTATGCTATGCACTTAGAAGTCTCAGAGATGACCTTACTGTTGATCAGTTGAAACTGTTTATTATGCTTAGTGGAATCAAAACTTAGATATAGTATAAAGTTCTGGGGCAATAGTTATAAATACAATATAAATAAGGCGTTTATATTACAAAAAAAGAGCTATTAGGACTATTGTCCGTATACCACAAGTGCAATCCTGTAAGCAATATTTTAAAGAATACAGAATTTTGACTGTACCATGCTTATACATATTGGTGCTATTAACAGATTTTGTAAAAAGTATTGTTGGTAGTGAGACCAGGGAGAATCGAGACATAAGAGAAAATACTCGCAGAATGGATTACCCTAACATTATAAAACCTACCCTTAATATTGTGAAGCATGGTGAGGGTTTGTAAGGCTTTACAACTCTTTGCCCAACAGTTTAAAGAAAATACATAATTGGAAGCTTTTTAGGAGGAGGTTGCGTTGTTTTCTGTTGGAGCAATCATTTTACAGTGTTGATGAATTTCTTAGCAGCAAAAATTGTATAATTTCAAACACAATATAAATTGTTACTGAATAAATAAATATCAAATATCAAATATAACGCTGAAGAGTTTGTTTGTTTGTTTGAATTCGCTAATCTCAGGAACTACGGGTTCGAATTGAAAAATGATTTTTGTGTTGGATAATCCATTTGTCGAGGAAAGCTTTAAGCTATATAACATTACGCTACGACCAATACGAGCGGAGCTGCAATGAAAATGTTGCAAAAGGTGGGGAAATGAACCCCAGACGAAGTTGCGCGGGGGCAGCAGATATTTGATTTGATTAAATTTCAATGTGTATTTATATTTCATGAATTTGCTTAGATTAGATTTAAATCTTTATTTATATCCATCTGTATTTATATTCCAGACACCCCCTTTTCCCACTACTGGCATTACTGCTGGAGCGATGCGAGCAGGCGACGGCGGGGGCAGAGCCCCCTGCGGCGGACGCCTTCGGGGCCGACCTCCAGGCCTTCGTGCAGCACCAGCGCCGGGACCGTAGGCCGTTCCTGGTCGACGATCCTGAGATAGATGGACTTATGATTAAGAGCATTCAGGTAGTAAAATAGACTCATTTTTTGTAGATAGAATGAGGGAAGGAGAAGATCAAGACTCAGATATGTCAAGCAGATCAAGGAAAGAACTAGAGTCGTGGTTGGTTATTTTTATAGGATAAGCGACAAACAATCTTACTGTTCACTTGATTAGGTGTTTAGAACAATATCTATAGTATCTTTAACATTAACTGTATTTTATAAATGCATGCATTTTATTTATATTAAGTATTAAATTATTTGCAGAAGATCATATATCGAAAACGGAAAATAGGAAAGAAATTCGTCATTTCAATCAGTTCATGTAAACTTTCTGCTGAAACGATCGCATTAGAGTTACTTGCGAAAATAAACTGACAGTATTGATTGATTTAAAATCCGCAAAATCCTTAATACATAAAATAAACAAAATAGGTCCTAGAATTGAACCTTGTGGCACATCTCATTTTACTGCTGTCTTTTAGATGAAGAACTAATTTCACAATTATTTTCTATATTCCTAATTTTTACGTATTGTCGTCGATTTTGTAGATAACATCTAAATAATTTAAACACCCAGTTTTCTCAATTAGAAAATATGATCAATATTATCAAAAGCCGAAGTTAGATCCAGAAAGAGCGCTACGACTTTTTTCTTGAGATTTATTACATTTAATAGGTCATGTTTTTAATATCGTTCTTTCCAGGTGTTGAGGATTCATCTGCTGGAATTGGAGAAAGTGCAAGAGTTGTGCCGCGACTTCTGCGGACGTTACATCGCCTGTCTCAAGACTAAGATGCAGAGTGAGAATCTGCTCAGGACTGACTATTCAGGAGGTAGTGCTCTTCATTCATATAGGATCTTGGTTTTAGCACACTGCCTTCTTTATTTCGCCCTACTAAATCGGCCATTGACAAGGACATTGGTCTTTTTTTATACCTTTTCTTTACAGCAATAAAAGGGAATAATATTTTTATTGTTCCCTTTTTTGCTGTTGGACAATTAAACAACGCAACTAAATCTAAAGCTAAGCAGAGCTTGTGTTATGGGTACGAGACTACTGATCGAAATACTTAACATAGATATATTTTTTGATACTTACATTAATATATAGAAACCAGCCAGACCGATACAATCAAACACACCCGTGAATACAAATCTACGTACCGTGTAAGATATCGAACCCGCGACCATCGGAAGCAAAGCGGTGGGCTAATCCACTCCGAAGTGGCGGTAGATTTGACATATCATAAGAGTCTGTAATAAATAATATATCTGTATAGAATAGTCTGAATTTTACATACGTTCTCAAAATCACCGACATCATTTGGTGAGATATTCAAATTAAAAGAAGAAGAAGAAGAATAAAGATATTTAGATTTGATTTAAAGCACTGATGTATCTGTTCTTTGCAGGTGGTGTGGAGAGTAACAATAACCTGTCAGGGTCGTTGGAGGACCACTCCAGCACTTCCAACTCACCACAATATCAGGTATGAAATGTATGTTACATTCATTATTATTACAATTACATATCTATATCAATAAAACAAATATATTTTATACTAGCTGTACCCGCGACTTCGTCCGCGTGGAATTTAGGTTTATTTTTCTAAAATAAAAGTAGCCTAAGTTACTCCTTATTACATCAGCTATCTGCCAAAAAGTCACGTTAAAATCGGTCCAGCCATTTCAGAGATTAGCCGGAACAAACAGACCGACAGACAGACATACAAAAATTTTAAAAAGTAGATTTTTGGTGCATGGACCGTTTTTATATTCATATGCATGTAGTAAAACACGGTTATTTCAAAATTACAAACAGACACTCCAATTTTATTTATATGTATAGATAACAAGCACACAGATTGGTTAGTACAAAGTCTGTCAGTAGTGTAATATTGTTGCGATGTTGTGGACAGCAGCCGGCGGCGGCGCCGGGGGTGCCGGGTCCGTTCCCGGCGGTGTTCCCGCACACCGACCTGCCGTACCCCGCGCCCGCGCCCGCGCCACCCACCCTCCGGGATCAGAGTACGCTCACACATTTTTTAATATATTTGGAATGGTAGCGTGATGTATACTTATCACTTCACCGCTGTAGTTTTAAGTATGATGTGATGAGATATTTTGTTTTTTTTTTATAATGGAATGGTGCAGCCTGCGCTAAGGGTTCACGCTGCCGGGGCACTAGTGGAGGATGATAACTTGAATATGAGGTTAGGTCATTTTAGCCCATCGTGACAGATTTACCTGAAGTTGATCACGATGGTTTGGTTTTGGTGACGGGGAACCGCGTGGAGGTCAACCTGACATGGTATATTGCTAGCAATAGGGATTACTAGTTCTCTCCTTCCCCCTGTGATGACATATTAGTTTTCTGTACTAAATATACAATGTGTAATACGAATATACATTACGAGGAATCGAACCCGCGATCATCCGAAGTTAATGCTAGACCATCTAGGCCGTCAATAAACCATGTACACACTATCGAATAAAATAAGTCCTTCCGATAGTCATGGTTTCGATTCCTCGCACAGTACAAATATTTGTATTCATGAGTATGATTGTTTGTATTGGTCAGGTTGTTTCCTATGTATATTATGTATGTATTTATAAAAAAAATGTATTTAAGTGTTTTTATCAGTTGTCTAGCACCTATAACATAAGCTCTACTTAGCTTGGGACTAGATGGCGCTGTGTGAATTGTCCTATTATTATTATTATCAAATTGCTAACATATCTAAATTTGATTACTTTTGCTATGTAATTTAGGAGAAAGCTTATGCATGACAGTATATTACGACCTAAAATATATAATAAGTTACCTAAATTCTTTAAGAACCTTCCCAATAATGTTTTAATAAAAATTTTTAATCTATATTTTTTTAATAAATTAAAAAAATATAAATTAAAGAGGTTGTTGATTGACAAATGTTATTATAGTATATAGAATTTTTTGGATGATCAATTTGACGAAATGTATTATTAGTTTTATATTATAGTACATATATTTAAGTTATAGTTTTTGTATTATTATGACATCATTCTTTTTTAGTATTGTTTATCATTTAAATTTAATATTTTATTGTAGCATTTAAGTGTATTGTATGCCATCTAGGTTAAACATGTCGGACAAAATCCTTCTATATGTATATCATCTCCTTATGTAATCTCGCATGTCTTACAAATAAATAATCTTGATACATTATTTAAATTATTAACCGGGTCTTAACACGAATAATTTTTTGGCAAATAAAGGTATATACCCGAATAATTTTATGGCAAATAAAACCTCTCTCGAATTTTAGAGTACTAAAATACTAAATATCTTTATTTGCCATAACATTATTCGTGTTAAGACCGGGTAAATAATATAAATAATGTATATTAAACACAAAAGTAAAAAAAAAAATGATCTTGAATCAATGAATGAAGAGATATGGATGGACTGTGTGATATCATCTTTCACACAGTCCATCCATATCTCTTTCGGCCTTCAAGTTTCAAGATTCTATATTTGATTTGATAAGAAAGGAAGTAAATAATGGAATGACTGCGAACAGGGATGAATGGAAGATAAAAACATATTACGCCGACCATAAATAAATGTGATAAGGAAGAAGCAAATGATGATTTTACTATGTAATTGAACTATTTGTTATAATTCCAGCTTCACTGGTTGTTCAAGGTTCAACGCCGATCAGCCAGATAGGTGCCGCCTTGCTGTCTACCGACTCCTACACTGGTGAGTGTCTCAGTTTAATAATAGGTACTAGTGACTGTCACAGTATAATAATAGGTACTAGTGAGTGTCACAGTATAATATTAGGTACTAGTGAGTGTCACAATATAATAATAGGTACTAGTGAGCGTCACAGTATAATACTGAACAGTAGTGAGGTCACAGTATAATAATAGGTACTAGTGAACGTCACAGTATAATACTATACACTAGTGAGTGTCACAGTATAATACTGAACAATAGTGAGGTCACAGTATAATACTGGACACTAGGGAGTATCACAGTATAATAATACGCACTAGTGAGTGTCACAGTATAAAGTATTATACTATGATATTACACTGGTGAGTGTCACAGTATAATAATAGCAAACAGATATAGTCATCATAACTAAAACTCATTAGATTATTAAAAAATGGTTCACATGTAAGAAATTTTTGAAAATTTATATGAAATGGGAGTTAAAAAATATTAACGTAATAAATTAACTAAAATTATAAGGTAATCTTGTACATTGCAAAATCACGGACATCTGATTATGATGCAAAACCATAATTGTAGATTTATTGATAATAATTTATAAATCTTAGACGTGTTTTTGGAAAATAAAAACTTTGCGTGAAAGAGCGTATGTGTACAGTTACATTTTAATTAGACCTGACTTCCAGAAGGCGGAAAGTCAAGATCATTGGTCAGTGAATATATCTATTTTTTTTCTCTACTTTTTTTATCAACATTTCACTTGTGACTACATATACTGTAATATGTTGTATTATAGGGACAAACTCGAACAATTCGTGTTCATCCGTGTCCGGATCCCCGCCGCCCGAGGACGAATGTGATGACGCGGGCGGCAAGCGTGGAGTCCTGCCCCGACACGCTACGCAAGTCATGCGCGCGTGGCTGTTTCAACATTTGGTCGTGAGTAGCCTGCTTTACTACCCTAATATTCCAGCACTTGGTCGTGACTGCCCCGCTTTAGAGTGAGAATATTCCAGAATACTAATATTGACGGTCTCGGTGGTCTAGAGTTTAGTATGTGGTGCTGCGGCTACACGCTAAGCAAGTCATGTACGCGTGGCTTGTTCAACATCTGGTCGTGAGTAGCCCGTTTTACTGCTGTAATATTCCAGCACTTGGTCGTGACTGCCCCGCTTTATGGAGGGAATGTTCCAGAATACTAATTTTGACGGCCTGGGTGAACTAGCGTTATAGCATAAAGCGCTGTTTTACTACCCAAAAATACCATCGCTGGTCGTGACTGCCCCGCTTTATAATGGGAATATTCCAGAATACTAATATTCACGATTGATGTTAGCACGAGGCTTTAACTTCCGAAGGTCGCAGGTTCTCATCCTCGTACGGTACAGACTATTAAACTCATGATTATATATATTATGTATGTATTCACAAAAATATATCCTTGCTCCCTACTTAATATTATAAATGCGAAAGTAACTCTGTCTGTCTGTCTCGCTTTCGCGCCAAAACTACTGAACCGATTTGAATGTAATGATATCTGGTACACAGATAGTCTAGATCCTGAGAAAGGACGCAGGCTACTTTTTAATGCGAAACAAGGGTTGTAAGGGGCTGAAAGGGAAGATGAATATTTGTATGGAAATATTGTCATTTTTAAAGCTAGAAGGTTGAAACTTATTTTTTAATCTGTTGATTAAATATAAATAAATATGAAAGCTAGAACCATGAAACTTTTTTCTTTGGCTTTTTTTGGTTAGATGTATTGAATATTTTTCTCCATTCGGTCAAGATTACTATAACATGTGGACGAAGTGGACGAAGGACGCGGGCACAGCTAGTCTAAAAATATATCTTAGTTGTCCATAACACACGCTTTGCTTATAGTGGGACTAGATGGCGCTATGTCAATTGTCCAGGGTTATTTATTTATTTATAGTCTAGTACCCATAACACAGCAAGCTTATCTTGTGACTAGATGGCGCTGTGTTAATTGTCCAGGGTTAAATATTTATTTATTTATATTGCAGCATCCGTACCCAACAGAAGAGGAGAAGCGTACCCTGGCAGCCCAGACGCGGCTGACATTGTTACAAGTTAACAACTGGTTCATAAACGCTCGCCGGCGTATTCTGCAGCCAATGCTCGACTGTGCTGATAAACCAGGTTAATATAATAATGTAGTCAATAGATACACAACAACGGCCCGAATGAGAGGCTAATTGTGGGGAATGGAGACCACATTGCAATCAGTAGAATACACATAGAATTTTCTATTCTAATCAATAGATTTTTCTTAACTGACCTTGCAAACGTTGTTTTGCTATATAAATTAAAAATAGGGGTTGGTGATTGCTGAAAATTTAGGGTTTAAATATTTTTTAATGCCATAGATATTATAATAAAATAAAAAGATAATTTTTACTATCTGACCTCGCTAACGTTGTTTTGCCATTTACATTTAAATCGCTATTAAAATGTAGGGTTGTTGGTAGTAGACTGAAAATGTAGGGTTGTATGTATGTATTTTTAATGCAAAAATAAAAAATTATAAAAACATACTAAAAAAAATGTTTGGACAACTTTTATCACTTAGGGTTGAATGAAAAATAGATATTAGCCAATTCTCAGACCTACTGAATATGCGTATAAAATTTCATAAGAATCAGTCAAGAGTCGGAGTATGGTAACTAACATTGTGACACGAGAATTTTATATATAAGATATATTTATTCTTTATTGGACTGTTTAAAATAAATGTACAATTGGCGAGCTTAATGCCATATAAGCTGTTTTAAGTTAATGTTTTTGTAATTAAGGATTTCTGATTCCTGCGACACAAGCCCTGAGCTTAGTGCAGGGATGGCTGTTAATTGTCTTGTCTACGACCATTGATGTAATGTGTACAAAATAAATAAATAAAAAAAATATATATATAGCATTTTCTACTAGCTAACCATTGGGTAAAAACAGAAAGGGGTTGAAGAGGAGTAGGGAAAAGAGGCATATTTTTACTATTTACCTAACTTATACTATTTAGTAACAATTTCAATGTAAATTCAATTTCATTTCAAATTAAACAATTAAATTTCATTAAACAAAAACAAAAATCGCAATCAGAAAGTGTATTATAAGTGGACGTGATATTTATATAGAGTATAGATACCAAAAGTGTTTTAAGACTAGCAACCATAGACATCGCCTTTTTATTTCTTTTTTGTTTTCAGGTGGAAAGAAAAGTAAAAATGGGTCGTCAATAAGTAAGAGGTACTGGCCAGACGCTCTCTCCAATCCGCAGTTTACTGCAGGTATTTAAACGTTTTTTGTTTACACGTTTTATACGCGCAGATAAGTATAAGAAAAACTATTATTTTCAGAAAACATAAATGTAATTGATAAGGTACGGGTTGTCTTTATTCAGTTATATTTTGTGCCAGTTCTTCTCAATAGAATCTGTATATTGAACGGTAGGTAAAAATATTATCTTTTGTAAAGTTAGACGGCCTTAGTGATCTAGCGGTTTAGAACACTGCTTTATTTCTGAAGATTCCGGGTTCGATATATCGCACGGTACAAACATTTGTATGCATGACTATAAATGTTTGTATTTATGTATATTATGTATTTACAAAAAAATAAGTATTTCTATCAATTTATTAGTACTCATATCACGAGCTCTGCTTAGCATAGGACTAGATGCCGCTGTACTGTCCCGGATAATTGTTATAAAATAAATATGATCTATTTGTTTTTTTTTATTTGGTCCAGTCCCCACATTGTGTAATACAACATAAAATTCCCAGGTCTTCTGTCGTCATCAGAGGATGAAGACCAAGACGGCGAACAGTCTGCGGACGAGCACGAGTCACAGACAGAGGAGCACACCAGTGAACATAACAATTTTCCGCCATTACAACAAACTATGCAGTAAACATAAGTATACTTCCATACCGCACATATTATGTATATTTAATCTGAAGCTAATTACATAAATCCTTAGCTATTTATACACAAAAACATCCACGTTATTTAATTGTAAGCAATAAAAATAATGGGCGGCCATTTTGTGTAGTCTTATGATATATTCAAAATGGCCGACAGTATTGCGTCAGCTATTACTTTCATGGTACCATTGAATACATTCGCATGACAACAAATTCCACGTTTCGGTGCAAACTAATTAGATTTTAAGTCATCAGATGACTCAATGAAAAAGCAAAAAAATGTCTTCGGATATTTTAAATATGGGACGATAATATTTACAATTTGTTCCTGCCATTTTCCTGTTAATAAAATATGCAGTGTGTCGAATAAGAGTTACAAAGTTACGTTCGTTATTTATGCCGTAATTTTTTTAATTTTTTTTTAGTTATATGAAATTATTTGATTTTTGAATACATATTTAAGGAAATGAATGACACACTTTCCTTGTGCTTAAGTATTCTTCTACAATTTTCGTTTTATTATAAATAAACAAAGTATTTTTTTGGCTCTATTTATCATTTAAAGGAACGGCAAAGGGAACTGCGCCCATACAGCCATTAAACAAAGTATTAAAGAAAAGTATTTCGACAGCTGTCACAAAAATATTTTATTAAAAAGACAATAGGTAAATGTCAGTATACCATAGAGTAATATGTAGTGATATAAAACTGATTGAATAGTGGATACTGATTAAATTCCAATACGTAATTTCAACTTAAATATATATTGCATAATATTGTATTGTTTTGGTGGAAGTAATAAAAATCATGTTCAATACATTTTTTCATGCGATTGAAAATAAATTGACGACTCGGAAGTATTTTGGGTGATTTTTTTTTAACGGAAATACCCATATTAAAAATAAAAAATAAATATCGATTTCCGGTAAAAAAAAATCCAATTCGAAATTGGAATATATAACGTAATTTTCTGTCATCTGAAATAAGCACTGACAAGTAATATAACATAATTCAGTATTAAATTTGTACTATACTAAATCTGTGCTTAATAAGAAAATGTATCAACTAAATATGAAACGAAAAAACTTGTTCTAATGCAATATTGATGCAATTATTGGATATAAAATATTAGTAATCACTATTCTGTCCGATAGAACCGAGTATACGTAAAATATTACCTCACTATTTTAAATTATTTTTAAAACTACCACATTTCTAAGTGGCTGGATGAATTCGAATTGCTCATTTGGTGGATTTAACTGAATTCGTCGACTGAACTCTAAATTTTTTTTCTGAGAAGCAAAGATTATACAGCCTTTTTTCTGGAGAAAGGAAAGACAATATACAGCCACATCTATATTTTTTTTATTTCACGCTTGTGTAATATAACCATTTTGCTATAGTACGTTATGTGCCTTCTAATGACACACCAAGCATAATATTTATGCTTAAACAATTATTTTCTTTCATTTTTCTGCATTTTACTATTTAATTTTTGTATTTTTTTAAAGAGTACGCAAGACGTTTAGTATATTATTTAGTTTTTTTTTAAATAAAGCAAAGTATGTTTTGGATAATACATATTGCTAATTATTAAATTGTTACGAGATTAAATTCGCATATTAATATATTTATTCTTTTTCCATACTGTGTAACTCCAAATAATTTTGACTTTCGGAAAAATTCAGTGAGTTTCTTTTTTTCTTTCAGTTGTTAAAATAGTGCAACTATTTATTAATCTTTTCAGTAGATACATATTTTCTTTTCATTTGATGTTTGTGCAGTTTAAAAAGATGGATTTTAATGCTCATTATATCTAAGTAATAAATAGTCATAATAAATAATCCCATAAAACTATATTATATGAAATATAACAAGTACCTAATAATTCTCGTGGTTATATCGGTATTCATTTAAAATATATTTATTCCATAAATGGTATTTGTCAATTTTTACACCGGTTGTGAGTAAAAATAGTTTTCTTTAATGATTTCCTTTCCGCCGACTGAATCCTAAAGAAATAGTGTAAGAATATTTTTTACCACGGAAAAAAACTATAATACCGTCCATAGACAAGAATTGTATTTATTTAAATTGTAAAAAAAATAAGTTTTAATATACTCATTGTAATTATTATTTTTAAAAATTTCATTTTAATGTGCAGCCATACTAGTGTTTAGATTTAGGTGAATTCTCAAAGAGAATGAAGAGGCAGGTGCAGAAATAATGGCTAATAACGGTTTTATATATGTGTATAAACGTTTTTTGTGGCTGTCTCTTTATTCTTTTTGATTTCTGAAACGATTATACGACATAAATATACGATTCATGTAAGAAAAACAATTCGATTCAAAATTGTATACGCAGAAATAAAACGTAATTTTTGTTCTAAATTTAAGTGTAAATTTTTAATCAGCGCGATGGAAGAGTGTTTGTATGTGTTGTATGTAGATTTGGGGAAAAGAGACGGCATGTTTCAAGAGAGCGAGAAGGTTAGTCTTACGTAATTTGATAGCTGCCTAAATGGAATGGTCTAGATTATGTGTTGTTTTTTTATACACCCATGTATTTTTGTAATGAGTTTATTGTTATAAATACTTGACATTGTAATGTATATAATTTTATCAGTAAGTATGTATATGTAAATGTAATACTACATTACGTAATGTTATAAATGGTATTTGTAAATGAATGAAGCGACTTTTCCCCAAGTCTTGCTCTTAAATATACAGAAATATATACAAAATGAAGTGTTTGTGATATGACTGCGTATTTAATGATGTATATGCGTGTTGAATAGGGTTGTCTATGTAAGAGTGACTTTTAACTTTTTCTGGAAGGCACACTAAGGTATGTAACATGAGAGAGGTAAAGGTAATAATGACATACTGCTTTGTATACAAGTACTAAAAGTGTGCCTTAATGTATATACAATTATACATATATTAAAAATTTAACTAATGGATGTCTGTTCATACAGAATATTTAAGAAAACCTATTTTTGGTTAAATTTATTGAAACAAAATTATTTGGGGATATTATCTATTTATCTGAGCATTTGCGTGTGTTAATCCCAGAAATGACTTCAACTGTTTTTATATAGTCCTTAATGTATTGTGCTAAGATACACAAAAAATTGTGTCGAATTAGTTTACAAACAAAAAAAATATTGTTAGGTGTATAAATATATAATTGCCACTATTTATACTAATTACAAATTAAATTCACCACTTTTTTTTTAAATATAATTGACGTTTTAAATCACAGACAAAAGATTAGATTTTTAATCTATAATCGATCGATTTATCAATCAGGACATGCCTCGTATAACTATCATAGACATTGTGCCTATTCAACACGCATACATTATGGAAGATAATTCAGTGATTTAGCTTGATAATGACGCAACGGATATACGTAATTAACGGTGAATATATAATAATGAAAGATTTTTTTATAATATTACTGTAATTATACTGTCCTAGTAATAAAAATGTATTTTTAAAGTATTTTAAAGTTGTAACTTGGAATGATGAAATGTTATATGATATTATTATAGTATTAGATTTTTCGTTGCATGGTAGTCCCGGACAAGGAAAGATCATGGTTAATTTATATATATATATAATTAAATATGTCAAAACATGTTTAAACATGTTTGTAAGTTTAATGCGTGAATTAGTCAGCAGATTTACTTAAAAATGTTTGTATGGTGAAAGTTTGTGTTAAATTTACTAGCTGCATTTTTGTAAGCTGTGTTTGTGTTTGCAGGGTGATATATATCTCAAATCAAATCAAAATATCTTCATTCATGTAGGTCTATTACAGACTTATGATATGTCAAATCTACCGTCAGTTTGGAATGATTTTGAGATGAGAAGAACTGACAAGAAACTCAGCTCATAATCTTTTCAAATAATGTTTATAATGATACAGATTCATTTTTAAATTCAAATTTGGGAGAATAGAGAGACCACCAGCAAATGCTATTGCAATTTTGTCAAAGGAAAAACAAGCAAATCTGTGAAGTTAAAGCTTATTAAGGCATAATGTCTTAATTCCTCTGATATGGCAACACAGAGCCGCACTATGATTCACACGTGACACCGTAATGGCCGTAGTGCTATTCATAAATAATAGCTATTTTCAATAGTCAGATTGACATTGTCTATTCAGTGACATAAAAATAATTACATAATTAAGAAATCACAATGAAAGTTGTTACATACATGTTGCAATAAATATTGTATGTAGAATTCGAAGGAGACTTTGTATACTGGAATATATAACTTATATATTAATAGTAATCGTGATATATTCAAATGAAGTTATCAAGATGCTATTTACACAAATTTTCCCGCTCAAATAATATCTCAAGTCAAAATTTCTTTTAAAATTCGTCATACTTTTAACTCAAATATTATATTGAATTTTTTAATGGATTACAATGAAATGGTGCATTGCCTGCGCTAACAGTTTACGCTGGCGAAATACCAGTGGGGATGACAGGATGAATATGATTTATCCATATATTCACCAGGTTTTAACCTGATATGATACATTGCTAGCTATTGGGTCATCAGTCCCAACAACTACTACGTATAGAAGGTATTAACAGTTCACTTCCCCCATAAAAATTATATTATATCATGAAAGTCGTTTTGCCTGTAGCTAAATTATTTTTAGCTGTGATTCTATTTGAAGTGCGAGATTACATAAATGTATTGATAAATGAACTATCATAAACAGGTATACTAATAAACGAACTTATTTTTTAATATTTTCAAATTAAAAGCATATCTTATAAAAACATGTTGTTTTTATATAATCTATGATGTACGGTAAAACTAGGCTGTACGGCAAACGACCTTTGCCAGCCGTCTCTAAATAAAATATACGAGGATAGAGGAAAAATATACGATTAGTTTAATTTTCTTAAGGCAAGTTTTCACCTGTATTATTTGTGAGTAATGTAATATTATTTCTAAGTATGTATTTATCAATTTGTATAGTTTTTATTACACGGGAATGTTCAGTCAATCAGGGTTGCCAACTTTACGAGATTTTAATTTATGGAAACTTAAAAAAAAAATTTTTTTACTACAAAATGTGACTGTCCATTATATTATTATCTAAATTGTATACGATGTAACGACAATGTGATTTAAACATGAATCAACAAATAATGACTAGATAACATTTTTTAAATAATTTCCTATTAATTAACATGTCATAGATTAGGTTATGTGAGGTAGTTGTCATTATTTCTCATTTGAAACAATTTGTAATGTTGTCATCAATAAAGTATTTGATAGTTGCAGATATAAATGAAGTACAGTTTGCAATCGTAATTATCATTTAATTCAACATAACCTCAAAATTAAAACTAATCAAGATATGTTATAGTTACAGTAACCTTACATAATAAAAATGGCTATGTTTTAACAATGTATGGCAATATTATATTATATATATTTAGATATATATTATATTAGATATGTGTAATGATTTTTTTAATTGCAAACAGCAAAATAATTGCTTTTTCGTCCGGGTATTTTTTACTTTTTCTTGTTCCAAGCTACATGACTAGGTTTAGTGAAAATTGTCCAGTTATAGTATACTATAGGTATAAATCAATGCTTCGATAGTATTAAGTCATTCTCGTTGAGTATACTATACGTACCTATAACGGCATAATATTTTGCTAGTCAATAAATACTTTTTAGGCTCGACTATTGTTTTATTTTTCTACCTTAATCCCATTTTTTTTTGTGCTTACATGATCGTAATCAAATGACAACAATAAATAAAGCTTTGATACAGTGACATCTGTTATTTGGTTAAGTAATCTGACTAATATTATAAACGCGAAAGTTGAGGATGTTTCTCACTCTTTTACGCAAAAACTTCTGAAAGGATTTTGATATCACTTTACAGTATTTATCAGAACACACAGACTATAAATTTCATTTGGGTGAAACCGCGGCCACATCTAGTTAAGTAATAAAACTATAGGTAATGTATTGAAAATATATGTAAGGGTTATCCAGGCATTAATGGATACAATATAAAAAACAGAAATAAATTAAAATCTGATGTTTATTTTTAATAATATTACTAACAATCTGATTTATGTTGCAGTCGTAGTGTTTTCTCTTATTATTTGGATTGTTCAGTTATAATTTCTAAAGAATTATTAGTTGCTTGCTAAGGAATTATTAATTTTCATCTTTCAATGGCTCTTCACCATCAGATAGTTCTTGATTCTTTGTTGTATTAGGCGAATTAAGGGCATCCGATATTGTAGAATCTTCTGGTACTTCAGGCTTTTCAGTTGGTCTATTTTCGTCAATATTTTTTATAGTAGTTATATCATTATTTATTTGTGTAGTCGTAGTAAGCGGTCTTAATTCAGATGGATCAATTTCCGATTCGCTATCTGGCTGTTTAGTAGTAGTTGTTTCTTTATCATTATTATTACTATTTGGATTTTTAGTTGCAGCATTGGGTTCATCGTCATTTTCTTTACTAACTTGTGGCTCAATTGTTGTCGTCACCTTGTGATTACTTTGAACATTTGGATTTTTAGTCGTAGTAGTGGGCAAGTCATCTTCATTTTCGTCGCTTTCTGGCTGTTCAGTAGTAGTGGTTACTTTGTGCTTATTATGACCACCAGGTTTTTTAGTTGTAGTAATGGGCAACTCATCTTCATTTTCGTCGTCATCTGTCTGTTTAGTAGTAGTGGTTACTTTGTGCCCATTATGTTGATGAGGTTTTTTAGTTGTAGTAGTAGGCAACTCATCTTCATTTTCCTCGCTATCTGGCTGTTCAGTAGTAGTTGTTATTTTGTGATTATTTTGACGATTAGGTTTTTTAGTTGTCGTAGTGGGCAACTCATGTTCATTTTCGTCGCTAACTGGTTGTTCAGTAGTAGTGGTTACTTTGTGCTTATTATGACGATTAGGTTTTTTAGTTGTAGTAGTGGGCAACTCATATTCATTTTCCTCGCTATCTGGCTGTTCAGTAGTAGTAGTTATTTTATGATTATTGTGACGATTAGGTTTTTTAGTTGTTGTAGTGGGCAACACATCCTCATTTTCCTCGCTATCTGGCTGTTTAGTAGTAGTGGTTATTTTGTGCTTATTATAATGATCAGGTTTTTTAGTTGTAGTAGTGGGCAAGTCATCTTCATTTTCATCGCTACCTGGCTGTTCAGTAGTAGTACTAGTTACTTTGTGTTTACGTTGATGATTAGGTTTTTTAGTCGTAGTAGTGGGCAACTCATGTTCATTTTCGTCGCTAACTGGTTGTTCAGTAGTAGTGGTTACTTTGTGCTTATTATGACGATTAGGTTTTTTAGTTGTAGTAGTGGGCAACTCATCTTCATTTTCCTCGCTATCTGGCTGTTCAGTAGTAGTAGTTATTTTATGACTATGGTGACGATTAGGTTTTTTAGTTGTAGTAGTGGGCAACTCATCCTCATTTTCCTCGCTATCTGGCTGTTTATTAGTAGTGGTTATTTTGTGCTTATTATGATGATCAGGTTTTTTAGTTGTAGTAGTGGGCAAGTCATCTTCATTTTCATCGCTACCTGGCTGTTCAGTAGTAATACTAGTTACTTTGTGTTTACGTTGATGATTAGGTTTTTTAGTCGTAGTAGTGGGCATGTCATCTTCATTTTCATCGCTATTTGGCTGTTCAGTAGTAGTGGTTACTTTGTGTTTACGTTGATGATTAGGTTTTTTAGTTGTAGTAGTGGGCAAGTGATCTTCATTTTCATCGCTACCTGGCTGTTCAGTAGTAGTAGTTACTTTGTGCTTACGTTGATAATTAGGTTTTTTAGTTGTAGTGAGTAGCCAGTTATCTCTATATCCATCAATATCTGGTCGTTCAGTAGTAGTTCTTACTTTGTGATTTGGTCTTTTAGTCGTAATAGCGGGCCATTTATCTTCATTTTCATTACTGTCGTCATTATCATCATCGCCATCGAGCATATCTAAGTAATGTATAAAGCTTTCGAGTAGTGGATTAAATAAACTTTCAATAAGTTCAGTTTGATCATCCTCATGATTATTGTTGATAACAATCGGACTATGAGTTTCATTGTTAACATTCTCTGTGCTATTATTTTTAAGTATTTCTATATCTTTGCTTATATCATTGGATATTTTGTTGGGTTCTTTTTCTTCCGTTGCATCTTTAGGTTCTTTCAAATAGTTCGAAACCTCTTCTTTAATCAAATCCTTTATGTGCTGTGGAAAAATAATATTATAAAATATATAGTACTAATTATATTATTATGTCTATTAACTTTATGTCTATAAACAGATCTAATCAAAAAACAAAATCAGCGTGTGCGATTCGATCCACTTACATGAACTACTAGTATAGAAAATCATCTATTCAAATAAACTTACATTGAAACACTTCTGAATAGTCATCACATTATTTTCTAATCTACCGCTCATTCAAAAGCTTTCTCATCAAAAGAATCCAGCTTGTTGCTCTTTTAAATAATTTAGTTGGAACTGGAAATGTGTGAATACAAACTACCAACTAGCACTAATTCATTAGGGTCAAAATATTAAAAACATAAATATTACTTACATCCCAAATCCAATCACTTTTTATGTCATCATATTTTTTTTCAGCTGACGTCTTCTGTTCGTTTCCCAGTGTATCAACTAGGTCACTAATTTTATATTTTAGTTCCTTCGATACACCTTTATCGATGTTAGGTGGATATATTACATATTTGTTTTGTGAAGATTTAGTGTCCTTCAACAAAAGAAAGTATTAAGTTTAGTGGAATACGTGTTATAAGAACTTATTTTAAGAATTTAAGGGGCTGTAAATAAAGTATATTTTATGAAATTTACTATTACATATTGCAGATGTTTTTGATGTATAATGTGATGTTTTATACTGGTCAATGAATATATACCTACTGTTGGTGCGAATGAGATTTTTTTAATACTAGGTACTATGGTGGAAAACAAGCATACGGTCCATCTAGCAAATGGTTACCGTAGCCTATGGACGCCTGAGACTTAGTTTCTATACAAACTGCGTATATCGTTACTAATATCATAAATATGCGTAAAAAACTTTGTCTTTATAATAATATATACCTATAATATAATAATAAATTTGTCAAAAAAAAAATTAAGTGACCTCCATCATTGTGAGGTATGAAAAATAAATGTTGGTTGATCCAGAGTCAGACCTACTCTATATGGACACAAAATTTCATTAAAAATCGGTAAAGCCTTTTTGGACGAGTTTGGTAACAATAGCTGCTACACAAGAATTTTATATATTAGAATTGTATATTGAATAAGTTTTACCTCTTTATAGTTATATTCTCTTTTCTGTCTCTTAAATGACGAATCCCTGCTAGGATTTTGTTTCTCATCATGCAATAAAGTTGTCAAGTACCGTTCAAACCTTTCCAGCATTGTATTAAAAAACTTTTTAAGCAACTGTTTTCCCTTTTCTTCCAGATTATTTATGTCGATTTTCGATTTATCTCTTGCATTACTATTAGGTTTAGCAGTTGTAAAGTCAATATCTTTATTCTCATTTGGAAGTTCTTCATTATTTTTAGTAAGATCATTTGGTTTCAAATGTTTTTTATCTTCAGTCACTGTATCATTCGATGGTTCTTGTATATTATGTTTATCAAAGTCTTCTTCTGCGTTCCCATTAATATTTCCTTTCATAAGTAATTGTTTTGAAACCTCCTCTCTTACAAAATTTTTAATATGCTGTGGACAAAAAAATTTAAGAGATACCTTTTGTGTTATTTGTAATTAGCAACTAATAGTTTAAATGGTAATTTAATAACCATAAAATTATTTTAACAAATCATGTAGTTGTATATTTTGTTTAAAAAAAAAACAAATAGAAAAATAGCTCACCAACTTACTTTAGATAGAATTGGATTTACGTATGACGTGAAAAATCTTCTCAGTAACAGCCAGAAGTAATCCTGAAAGGTATCAAATTTATTTTTATAATTTTAATATTGAAAAAATATGGATTACTTATAAAGTCTTAAATATGGATTACCTAGTAGGTAAGTATTTCTTTAAAAAAGTATACCTATATATATTATTTTACTAAGTTAAACTATAATAAAAAGAATCTATTTAAGTTTAGTACACATAACACAAGCTTATCTTCGAGTCAATGTTAGTTACTATACTCGTCCGAAACGGGTTGATTGGTTTTTTATGAAATTTTAGATGCATATTCAATAGATCAGATCTACTGAATATGCATCTAAAATTTATTTTACCCACCCATACATTCAATACCGATACGATATTGAGAGGCCGGAAATATACTTGCAATTCCCTTTGGTGATGCGGGCGTTCTTGCGGCAATCACTTACTGTTAGGTGAGCCGCAAGCTTGTTTTGTAGTTATAAATGCGAAATCTGTCTGTCTCACTTTCACACCAAAACTACTGACCCGATTTAAATGAAATTTGGTACACACATAGTTTAGGTCCTGAGATATGATATACAGAGGCTACTTTTTAATGCTAAAAAAGGGTTGTAAGGGGTTTAAAGAGGAGATGAAAAATTATATGGAAGTATAGTCATTTTTAAACCTAGAAGCTAGAAAAAATTTTTTCGGTTATTAATTAAATATAAATCAATATGACAAAGATTGTAAATAAGTTACATTTAAGAGGGGCTTTTCAAGTATTACGTAAGCAGATTTATCACAATTATTTACCCCCCATCCCCCGTTGTCAGCAAAAGTAAGCAAAGCTCTTACCCCTCCACCCATGCTTATGTAAACATTTCTCAATTAATGTATTGTTTTTTTAACAAAGACAATGTGAGGGTTGCCATTCGTGTAAAAAAGTAAATTACGACCGATGACGTAATCATCATACAGACTCCCCCACCCCCATGTCATCCAAAATAAGCAAAGAAAAGACCCCCCGCCCCCCTATAGTGCTTACGTAATACTTGAACGGCCCCAGAGGGAAATTAAATAGGGGATGAAAGTTTGTATGGAAAATCGTCATTTTACGATGAAACTTTTTTTTGTGTTAGATTACTAAATATTTTTTCTTTATTTGGTCAAGGTCACTACAACACGCGAACGAATTCGCTGGCCCAGCTAATATGCTATAAGACAAAAAAACAAATAGACACTTACACTATTTAATACATCTTGAATATTGATTGAATTTGGTTTTGAAGTGTATTGCTCATTATAGGGTTTCAGTATGCTCCCTCCTGAATCCTGAAAAAGATGTTGTTTTTTTATAACGAGGCTTAATTGTATAATCAGTTTATAGGACTAATAATACTTTCTTTCATGTACTTCTAATGACAAACAAACTGACGGCTCAATTGATGGTAAACGGTCACCGTCGTTTATATACTTTAACAGCACTACGGGTAGAGCAAGAAAATTTTGATTTAAACCATGGTGTGATCAATTTTGGCGCAATATATATATATATATAATAATAATATTTATTCATGATACACATTTATATTTTAATTTACTGTAATTCTACACTAAGTCTGCAAATTCATGAATAAGAATATTCAGAAAGAATATAAAAAAGGGCTACTAAACCCTATTTTTCGAAATAACTCGATAACGATAAGAAATATGACATATTGTAATATTTCAAATAAAAGTTATAGAGAAAAAAATCCTGCGCAAAAAATTGCACTTCATTTTTTCATTAGCTGGTGTTGTTTAGGCACAAAAATTAAAAACTAACTTGGATCGTTGTCAACTGAAAAAAGTAGTAAAAAGTAAATAAGCTAACGCAACGCGCGCATCACTCAGATAAGCACTAATACTATTACATATGTTTCCCCTTTTACATATCGTTCAGCTGTTAGTTTTAGTTAATTAGTTTTTTTTAGTTTTATATCCAAACAACACTCTGGTGTTGTGATATAATGAAAAAATGAAGAGCCCCGTTTTTGTATAGAACTTTTTTCTCTATAACTTTTATTTGAAATATTTTGTCATATTTCTTATCGTTATCGAGTTATTTCGAAAAAAGGCATTTTCAACACTTTTCTTTAATTTTTCTTCCCTTTCCCGTCAACTTAAATCAAAATTTCTTTCTGTATATTTCATTGTGTTATTAACGAATTTTCGGACTTACTTTTATATATTCTGCCAAAACTGGTCACATCATGGTTTAATTTAAAATTTACTGGGCTAGGGTATGATGTTAGAATAGAATAGAATAGAAAACCTTTTATTTAAATAAACTTAATTTAAGCAATTATCCATAGTCATCACATTTTTTTAATCTACAGCTCGGAAAGCTGTATTATCACAAGAAGAACGAGCAAGAAACTTGCGTGTTGCTCTTTTAAATAACCGTTGTAACTTTAAGCTAGGATAATTTACACAGCACCAACCAGTTCCAAGCAAAACAGAGCTTGGGTGGTAATGCAAATAAAAATGCTAAGCTAGACTACCGAAGGTGAAAATTTGCCGCTCATGTTCTGCATCCCCTATGATAGAGAACTAGAGCGGCAAAATTGCTTAAAAGTTCTACATCATAGGACTAAGTTTGAGAATAGTATTAACCGAAAAGTTTGAGAATGACAAAATATAATAATGAACCTGCACTTACTCCGTAATATACATTTCTTTTAGTTCTGTCCATTGTAGAATAAGTGGGAGAGGCCTGGAAGTAAAATCAAATTCAAAATATCTTTATTCATGTAGGTCTATTACAGACTCTTATGATATGTCAAATCTACCGTCAGTTCGGAATGATTTTGAGATGAGAAGGACTGACAAGAAACTCAGTTCGTATTTTATTTTAAATGTTGTACATATTTACAATAATACAATTTAATTTAAATTCAAATTTGGGAGAATAAAGTGCTACTGAAAAAAACCCGCCAGCATATGCTATTGAAAAAAAAATCAAAAAATCTAATCAGTGATCGCAACCTGAACAGACCAGTCCCCACAAGCAGCACCCGTTCACGAGTATGACGGATGAGCCAGCCATCATTGCACTCAACCATATTTGAGGGAGCACATCGACCCGGCCCACCACGCCGCCACAAGTTTGAACTTTATAGCGAGCATGACTGTTTCAAGTTACTCCACTACGTCATTTATATTATTTACAGCATAAATTGTACCAGTCACAGTTTTCACCCATTACAATATTTAATTTACATTATAGAACTATTTAATTGCAGTCACCTTTATTCAGTGGGACAAACTTAAACATATCTTTAGAGGGTAGGGGATTGTTAGTAATGTGGACTGATGACCCCATTTCTAGCCATGTACGATATCAGGTTGACCTCCACGTGGTTCCCATGGAAACCATCGTGATGAATACTGGTTGAATTTGTCACGAGCTCATGCTCATATTATAATCCTCCATTGGTGCCCCGCCAGCGTATACCGTTAGCGCGGGCGGGAGCAACTTCCCATTATAATTCATTAAATAAAATCTTTAAGTAACTAACTTAAAGGAAAAATAGAAGTATAATTTCGTGAATTAAATAAATACGTTCATATCATAAATTAAATACGTAAGTTTAATTTCATTATGATAACATTATATAAATCACAATTTAATTACTCATTTCGACACCAGCTATTTATGCTAAGCGAACTCGAATTTTCAGTTTAAATTCGTTTTTTTTATGCGAAACTGCTTAAAATGGTGATTTTTATATGTAATAAAAAAAATATTAGGAAATATATAAAATAACTGAGTATAAATTCCAGCAATTTATACAGCAATGTCGATTTATTATATTTTTTAAGTCATACATAAAAGTATTTTTTTTTTTTTATATAATTAAGTTGCAAAGCAAACAAACTTTTATTAATTTTTTTGATCCATACCATTATATATGCTATCTTATAAAGTTCCACATTTGTACCTACTTACATTTTTCGAAATGTATTTTTTTCTAATTCCATCGAAGAGCTGGTTCCTGGTAGCTTTTATCTGTAGATAATATTTTTTATTATTACAATTAGGTTTTTTAATATAATAATAATATTAATAACAATAATATATCCCTGGACTATTCACACATTTAGTACCTATCTTTCAAGGGTCGCCAACCTGCACGTGACACCCCTGGTGTTTCAGACGTCCATAGGCTACTGTAACCGTTTACCATCAGATGGACCGATGCTTGTTTGCCACCTAAGTGGTATAAAAATAATATCTAAGTAGAACTTGTGTTATGCGTACTAGACAACTGATATGAATACCGTAGACACATTTTTTGTAAACACATACATAGAAAACACCCAGAACGATGCAAACGATCATACTCAAAATTACAAATTTTTGCACCATTGGATTCGAACCAATGACCATTGGAAATAAAACGGTAAACCGCTAGACCACTGAGGCCGTCTATTTTTAATATACACTGTGAAATTAGGTGCATTAATTGTAGATATTAATTAGATTTCCTTTATAAATAATTAGGTAAAAATTGTTATCACGCTTACCTTATTCTCTTGAGCGGTACCCATTTTAGCATCCTTTATATTTTCTAGAAACTATATAAAGAAACATTATTAATGTTATTAATATATATATATTATATTACAATATATATTATATTTATATTTACAATCTGCAATTTTGTAGATATATATATTACATACATACAGAAAATACAGTTACTATGACGACAGTCGTCATGAAAGATATTTCAGTTTAAAAATAAGTTAAAAAATTTTAGATTTATTATAATATATTAATTTAAATTTATTACTAGTATTTACATAACCTAATTGTACAACTAAGAACCTAAAATTAAAAAGCTTAAAAAAATATATATAATATGATGACTAAAATATATTATTAAAAGGGGTCCCTTTAGGCAACGTTCCGAAGATACTGGCAGCGTTCCCTCTTTGAATAGCTGGACTAATTCTTTGTCCAAGGTAGCTGCCAGCTCTTCGGTCTTCTGTGATGTATACAAATATTTTGTATACAAATGTTATTATACTTACGTCCTTATCGTCATGTACTTCGTCACAATCTAGATCAAACGGGTACCCATGCCCATTGGTAAACGGTCTGGACTCAATACCATTATTTTCCTTTAAACAATTTTTCTTATTTTCCTGTAAACAAACATATTGGGAAACTATTGAAATTATATATCTTATATACCTATAAAGTTCTCGTGTCGAAATATTAATTCATGAGTTTATTTGTTTGTTTCAATCTGAGTCTTTTCTATGTAGATATTTAGAAAAAAAACAATATCTTTACATCAGTTATATAGTACCCACAACACAAGCTCAGCTTCATTTGGGACTAGATGGCGCTGTGTGAATTGTCTAGGTATATTGTTATTTCATTTTAAGTGTGTTGAAAAACGTTATATAATATACGTGTGTAATTAACACATTCGGCTATATTACGCCTTCGGCTTTGGGCTGTAATTCCATCTCGAGTGTTATAACTATTATAACGCATTTATATCATAATTGACTACTCGACCCGGTTTCGCCCGGGTGTACATGTATTATAGTATATTATATTATATTATATTATATTATATTATATTATATTATATTATATTATATTATATTATATTATATTATATTATATTATATTATATTATATTATATTATATTATATTATACGATAGTACATTATTATATATTACAAGCCTTCCTCTTGAATCACTCTATCTATAAAAAAACAGCTTCAAAATCCGTTGCGTAGTTTTAAAGATTTAAGCATACACAAGGACGGACAGACAGCGACAGCGACTTTGTTTTGTACTATGTAACAATATACTGTAACGGTTCAAACAGTTTTACGCTACACCTGATGGTGAGTGGTGGCTATATCCTATATACATGAACAGATACCTACCTGCTTGTTTACAGTTCCAAGTATGTTATTCTGCCCTTATTAATTTATATATTGTATTCATGTGCAACATATAATATACTTGTCGTTTTTTTCCCTACCTAAAGGTTGTCTAGGAGATATTGCTTTAGCGAGGACTGTCTTTTGAGAATCAAAATGTCTACTTAGTATTGGATGTTTGGTGCGATAAAGAGTTATTGTATAAAAATATATTGTTACTAGCTGTACCGGCAAACGTTGTTTTGCCTTAAAATAAAAAAAAAATTAGGGGTGGACTACCCCTAACATTTAGGGGGATGAAAAATAGATGTTGGCCGATTCTCAGACCTACTCAATACGCTCATAAAATTTCATGAGAATCGGTCAAGCCGTTTCGGAGAAGTATGGGAACGAAAACTGTGACACGAGAATTGTATATATAAGATTACTTATTCTATAGTCAGGCTATGTTACTACACGATAATAGCTACGATATAGAGAGGTAAGTTTTCGAGAAAGTTCTCTCTATCATTCATCACTATGCGATAATAGCTACGCTGTAGACAGGTAAATCTATGAGAGATAAGTTCTCTTTGTTCAAAATTTTATTTGTTTTAATATAGTATGCTTACCTTAGACACAGGAAGTCCCCATATTAGTACTAGCTCGAATAATAGCAGTACTATTGTTATCTGTAAAAGTTATAGATTAGCATGTAGTTAACGAATTTCTTTAGAAAGATCACAAGGATAAATGAAAAGAGGATGACGAAAAAAGTGACGAAAATAAGGGATAATATAGTTAAAAAAGCATGGAAACTATGGATTAGAATCAATCAAGTCTAGAGTATACGAGATTAGAGTAAGCCTTTGCTTAGAAGCAAGGAGACAACCAAAAAATTGAGATAAAGTGTTCATTCATTCATAATTTAAGAGCCACCTCTTGTGGATGGAGCTCTTGCCACTTTCCACGATTTCCCATAATGCTCTTTAAATGTTGATACCACACGACTTCTATTTTGTCTTAAACTTGTTTGATTGCCTTGGTCTTCCCCTCTTTCCTTCTTTTTTATTTAACTCAATAATAATGTTCATAAATTCATTAATAATCATTATATAAATTCATTTTTCCTAGTCTATTTTCTATTGTATTCAATATCTGCCTTTTTTACTTTGGATAAAGTGTAAACAGCAAAAAATAAAAGTACCTATTTGGAAATATTGAGCACACTTACAGAACTTTTCATTTTTAATAGCCAAACAACTCCATTTAATACTGCCACAAAATGAATAATTACATCCTATACTGGTGGCCATCATTTTCCTCTCAGTTTATATACTGTAATTAACCTAATAGTATTTTTATCTTGGGTGCCATCGAGATCTGTTATGCTATTACGACTATTGTGGTCATCAGTTCTTTAGTAATGATTATAAAATTATTTATACTAATAAATAAAATGTCACCTTATAGAACTAACTACCACATAGTTAATTTTCAGTTAACGTATTTGCCGAAATTTTAAGTATTCTTCTTGTTTATTTTTTATTTATTACTAGTATTTACATAACCTAATTGTAGAACTAAGAACCTAAAATTAAAAAGCTTAAAAAGTAATAATAATATGATGACTAAAATATATTATTAAAAGGGGTCCCTTTAGGCATAGTTCGGAAGATACTGGCAGCGTTCCGTCTTTGAATAGCTAATATAAAATTATATAAAATTTACTCCCATTTCAGCTCCATACAAATATATAATAGGGCACCGGGGCTAATGTAATGTGGACTCTATTCTCCGCAATTGGCCTTTCATTTGGATCGTTGTACGTATAGAGTCGAGACTACTGAACTAGCCAGCCAAGCTCCTCCCAGAAGCGCAGAAGCCTCGTGCTGTCTTCACTGCCTTCACGGAGCTCACCGTTCCGAGGATTGGTGTTCGTTGTGTGGCCACTATTACTCACATTAAATAGGTTTAAAATAGAACTACACAAATGGCTCGAAACAAATTACTCTTTACGAGAATTCACTTAACATTTAATCATCTGTTTATAAGTTATTAAGATTAATTGTAATCTTGCATGCCTCCTGAATTTGAAGCGATCATTTGTTACCTAAACACTTGTAAGATCTACATTGTAAATATTGAAGCAAATAAATTATTCATCCAAATAATCCTAATTTATACAATTACGAAATTCCTATCGAACAGATAGTTTGCATAAGTTTCCATCTACCCAATTTTTGGATTAAACTTTGTGCTCTTTTTTGAAGAGTTTTTATTAAAATAAATTTAAATATTTGAACGACTATCTGTAGATTTTGGGATGACCATATCCAAGCCAGTAGAAAGAAAAGTTATTAAATATTTGACAATATAGATATATACATATGCTTTTTTGAGCCATCATATTTCAAAGCACTGCCGAATAGAATATGTTCAGATTTGGTATTTATCATTTATACTTGTTACCGCGTCTCTTACCTACATTGGTACATTAACTACAGATGGTAATTTAACTAATGGGAACTCTTATTATAGCTCAATTAATGTCATGGAAATTGATAACACGACATTTGTTAGTTGAAGTTCAACATTGAAGTGATAGGTACTTTGGGGAAATATCCAGGGATTGATACGGATAGGATAATTTTGCCAAACATCTTTTGACCTGCAGGCAGCTGATCAAAAATGTTCAAAAAGATTATGAAAAATTTTTTTTAGAATATCGGGACATCAATAAAAATAAAATATGGTAAGATTCCGTGATTTTTATAATTATATATATAAACACATGAGGTGTTGTAACACAAAAGTTACCCTTTTTGAGGGTTCAGTATACCTATTGCAGTTTCATTATTCCCTTATTTGCAAATCCAATTACGCAAGACATGGCAATTATAGGTTTTATTGCAAACAAATAGTGAGTTTTGATTATTCTAGTAGCTTTTTCCAACATCGTGGCCAATAAACTAAAACAACTCATAAATAGCAAAATATAATTTATTTTTTACCTAAGAATGTAAGAGGTGTGTATTGTTATTGAATTTTACGGATACAGGTAATTTAGAATAAATACCATCGTTTTTCGGTACACTTTTAGGTACTGCAACTTTGTATTCATTTTCCAAATCGTCTATAAAAAATCTTGATCCATTTGCTTTAGCAATTACTTTGACATTATTTTTCATGTTTATATCCTTTGCATTCTGTTTCCAGGTTTCTCGGTTGTTTCTAACAGCATTTGTGTGAATATGACCATGATATACCACGCTAGCGACTGGTGCGTTTGGTCCATCTGCTTTGTTTACTACTGGAAATGGTTGTTGATATGCATAGACAAATGGTATTGAGACATGTGTATCATTTTTCCTTACTTCTATTTCGGGCATTGCTTGACCAAAAAACGGCTCATGTATAGGTTGATAGTTTTTCCAATCCTTGGGTACATTTAATTCCTCCTTGATAGTTCTTATTGTTGTCGGCTGTGTCATGGCAGCAAATTTATCAGTTAATTTCTCTAAAAACATTTGAAGCATTAATGTGTTTTGGTCTATTTTCTTTAATATCTCCTTTGTCAAAGATTCATTCTTCTCTATATTGACAATTGTAGTTTTTTCTAGTTCTTTTGTATTTTGTATTGTTGTTGTAGGAAAATTTAATGTTGTTGAAGAATGGGTGGTAGTTTTGATGTCGTTTTGTAAATCCTGTTCATTGAGAAATGCAGAAGCACCTAACTTATTAATGTCATCTTTCCTCATACGTACTGTCTGAGGAGGACTTATTGGTAAAATCAAATCAACTAACTCATTAGAATTATTCTCATTTTTAACAATCAATGATTCTAAATGTTCTTTTTCCTTTTTTAAATGATTTAGTTGGGCATCTATCCTTTGTTTGTGTCTTTTCAGTAGGTGTTTTATTTTTTCCTCTTTTTGTTTAAGATTTCTTTCATCTGGTAATCCGGTAGTACTTACTAATTTATCATTTTTGTTTTTTATTAAATTTTCTATTTTAGAAATTTCAGATACATTTACCAACGAAGAGTAACGTAATCCATTCTTATTGAAACTTTTGTTAATACTGGTATGTATTTCTTTAAAACCTGAATTCATACTTGTTGAATTTTTAGGCATAATTTTAACTGTAAATTTGTAATTCGCAGGACCTTGGGAATTAATACCATCAAGTTGGTCCATATTTGATATAGGAACATCTAGTGCAGTTGAAACGTAATTTTCAGTAGCTGCATAAATTTTCGATTGTTTTTCATTATAATTGATTTGGGGAATATTTTCTACAAGTTTTTCTAAGAATGGTTCTTCTGGAGTGATAGTTTCTTTGGATCTACTCATTTCTTCCATAAAAATATGTGGATATTTAGACATCAAAAGATTATGTCTATGTCTACCATGAAATTCGTTAGCAGTATACGACGGGCCTAAATTAGTTTGATCATTAATGTAAGGAATGTAGTCTATATTTTCTTCTGCTCTATCTGGTATTTCTAATTCTTCCGGTGTTTCCACTTCCCTAACAACAGGTCTATCAGCCAATATATTTTCATCTGACAAAACGAAAATATTTTCTTGGGATTGTTTAGGTCTAGATGTGTCCCCTCTAGCTATTATTCTTATCTTATTTATTTGTCGTTTATTTCTTTTAGTGTTTAAAATTATTCGTTTAGTAGTCATTATATTCGTATTCAGAAACTTATTTAATTTTATATTGTTATTAAAATATGATATATTTTTTACAGTTACGGCTCGCTTATTTCTTTCAAATAAATTTGCTAAAGTTAAAATTTCAGCTGGTTTCAAGTGTCTCTCAAATATATTTTCATCAAGCAGTATGAGCGATTCCTTTATTTGTTTGTTACTTTTTGGTGCTTTCATATTATGAGGATTATTATAGTAATTTTCTACTTTGTCATCTTCATTAAAAGATTCCTTTATAGATTTTTTTTTATCTTTAATTATTTCTTGATAACTATTGTATGGAAGGAAGCTACTATTAAATATTATTTTGTATTCATTAGAATGATGATCACTGTTTTTAATAGAACGTCGTATAATATTGTGATTAAAATTGCTTTCACTATTAATTGGACCTGCAATTAATTCGCTGTTTCTATATTCATAGTTATTATTGTCATTTTGAACAGGCATTAGTTTATTGTCTTCTGTTGTACTTTCTAATTCATCATATTTTTGGTGATACGTTTGTATTAAATGTTCTACACCTGTAAATAGTTTCATGGCTTCTGTATCTGGTGCTTCGTCTGTATATTGATTAAAACCTATTGAAAATCCAGATCCGTCTATGTCTTTTATAAAAAACTTCATATTACCCATATCAAAATTATTGGCATTTAATATGTCTTCACTGACATCTGTATTCAAGGGTTTTTGTATCCTCTGAGAGATACCATTTACTTTCATAACTTTATTATAGTCGACATCAACTTGACCCATTTCAGCTGAATTCAAAGATTTTGTTTCTGTCAGGAATCTAGGTCCAAAATATGTTTTTTTCCAACTTTCCCCTGATTTATCGTAAATATTAGGTACTATGTCTTCAGCTGCAATTTTGCTAATTGGATCTAAATGTCTATGCACAATAGCTTCAATGGGTGGTATAGCTTTGTTTAAGAGAGCTGTATTATATTTATTGTCTAGAGGATCTTGCGTTCTTTTTTTAACATGCAAATGTTTGTAGTTTTTCTTTCTCTCTATGTCCTGATTCTCTAAGTCTGAGAGTATTGCTTTTTGTATCTTGTCTACTAAATTTCTTATAAGTTTTTTCTTTTTTTCACCTTTCATTCCCTTGCTATCAAAATGTGTATCAATTTCTACATATAGCTCATCATCATCTTTTGTAACCCCTTTTTCATTTAATTTCGGAATTTTCGTTATGTTTTCAATTTCATCATCATATAGCAATTTAGTATGTCTTTTAATGCGTTTAGACTCAAAAGAATTATTAGATCCAAAATTCTTAAAATTATAATTGTCTGCATATTTTCTAAAATATGCATCCATAAATTTATTCATAAAAGATTTAGTATTCTTGTTATTTAATTCTAACACAGTTGATTTTCTGACATCATTCTGAACTTTTTTAACTACTGTCGTCGAAGTTTCAATATTTCCCTTAATTTTGTTTCTCTCGAGATCAAATACATTTTCTTCGTCACTGTTTAATCGTCTTAGTCTTATTGGGTTTCCATTGAAAATTACTTTAATAAAGCCTTTGATATCTTTGGAATTCCTGTAAAAAAGAAAAGCATCATATTACCTTTAGACTAGAATAAGTAAAAACAGTAGAATAGAATAGAAAATCATTTATTCAAATAAACTTAATTTAAGCACTTTAGAATAGTCAACATTTTTTTTTAAATCTACCGCTTATTCGGAAAGCTTTCTCATCACAAGAAGAATAAGCAAGAAACTTGTAACTTGAAACATTTTACAAGTCGAAACGTGTGAATACAAACTACCAACCAGCACTAATTTATTTAGGCTCAAATATAAAAATACAATAGGATTAAATCAGTCGTAGTGATAAGAACAGACCAGTCCGTACTAGCAGCACTCGTTCACGAGTATGACGGATGAGCCAGCCATCACTCGCACATTTTAGGGAGCCCAATGACCCGGCCCATCACGCCGCCACATGTCTGGACATTTTAGTGAGCATGACTACTCATTCCACTCGACCACGTCACAGCTACAAAAATTACTATATGGTAGTAATCTAGAAACACAAAAATTTACGTTACTTACGATTGATTTTCTTTATTGTTTTTATTATAGTTTATAGATGACATATCTATAATAGTTTTAATTAATAGTTTGGAATCTGTAAAAAAAATATTATATATCAACATTCAATGACTTTATTTTCTTTGACGACTGCGATCAAGCTTATTTACTTTCAGAATTACATTATAGTATTACATTGATACCTTTCTGAGGAATATTTTTACTTTCCATGGTCATATCCTTATCTGTTCCTTCAGTTAATTCATTCTGTAGTTTGTCGCATTTTGTTATTTCATCAAAATATTTATTCTCCTCAACTGGCGGGCTCATTTGACGTTTTAAAATTGGCGGTGTGTTTTTCTCCAGTTCCTTCTTTGTAAGAAGGAAATTTTCTAACAACAAAATTTGATACATTTAAAACAACTGCTTAATTACTTAAATAATGATGACTCTTAATTAATAACAAACCAGACTACTAATCATGACAATTATTTTATATGAGCGTCACAAGAACCATCACTGTCTATTGAAAAGATTCACCAAAAAATGTTTTATATTATAAACATTAAAAATATCGAATAGAAAATATCTCATTTTTCATACAAGAGTAAACATTCTGCTCCACCTGATGATAAGCGGTAGCCATCACCTCTATACATAAAACACCACGGACATCAAGTTATGATGATGATACCTGTATGACCGTGATATCACTCATACGTTGTCATTCTAGAGAAGTAATATGTCATGTCTTAACCTGTAATATCACTGCCTAATCTGTATCCGTAACACAACTTACTAAACAATCTGCTTGAAATAAGACAAACAGACAAATTTTTACAGTCTGTCTTTTACCAGATGCAAATAAAAGATCTGCATACGTACCTTTATATAACCTCTGCATTTTATTAAAATTGCTAATCAATGAGTGTAGTTTCTTATACACATTGTTCAGATCCATGTGTCCAATTATACCTTGTAATAGAATATTGTGCATCGCTAAATGCAATAGATCATCATTTTTCATATCTCTTATTGCTTCTCTAGGTATTTTTTCGTTTTTATTATTTCTTATTTGTGTACTTTCATTGTCATCTAGTGCCTTATTGTTTTCCATTATTTCATTATTTTTATGTATTACCGTATCCAATTCAACTTTCTTTTCATTTTTTGCTACTATATTGATGGAATTTTCTTTAAACTTTGTATTTCCATTATTTTGTTTCTGTTTGCTTGTAACAGATTCTTCCTCGTCCAATTCTTCTAAAAGCGTTTCAAGACGATTTTTAAGCAAATCCTTTACTTTTGGATTTTTTATTTGTTGCAGGAAATCTTGGGATTCTATATAAATTACATATTAAAACATAATTATCATTGAATTCCTTGTTTGTTATTTGTAAATTGTTATGAATAAAAGTAACAACAACTAATTAGAAAGATTGATTAACCAACGGATATTAAAACTGTCCTTTTTATAATATTAATTTATATAAATTGGAAATATTTAAAAAATTCACCCAATGATCTTTTACTTCTGTATGAATACTCCTCATCCACGTAATCTTTATCGTCATTGTACAATAACTCAGGCTTTGTGTCGTCAGGTATCACATTAGTACTGACCTTTTCTATTACTGCATTTGTATTGTGGGATTGTGCTAAAAAATATTTATTATTACTAATTGTATTATATTTGGTATTAATAATAAAAAATCGACTTCATATGTTAACGAAATTGGCTGGTTCAGTGTTATTTAAAAGTAAAACTAGTTAATCGACATTAATTAACTTTATTTGGGAAAGCAGGTATATATTCTTTAGCTTAAAAGAAATTGCATTTCTGAGATAACGAACCTTTTAGCCCGCGAGCCAGGAACAAGTTTTAATTGTGACAATTTGTCCTTTTATAATAAATAGATCTTATACACCATAGGTTTAAAGTCCATTTTAGTTAGGCCTTATAATGACATGGTCTTAAGAATTAACAATAATGGACCTCATACATCGTATGTTTAAAGTCCATTTTAGTTAGGCCATATTATAACCTGGTCTTAAGAAATTTAACAGTACATATTAATTACCTTTATCTTTTCTAGATAACAAACCATCAATATCAATAAATACATTCGTCAGTATTACGGTAAATATGAAAGCGATCACCAAAAGAGCGAGACAAAACACTCTGTAGAAGAGAACATTGTAATCGCACCGTGACATAGACATAGATGTGTGTGACAACCGAAGAGCTAAATCTAAATTCCTGAAACAAGTACATTTAAATATAAAATATTATAATTGTTAACCTTAAAAAAAATTGTAACCCTAAATAAATAACAAACAATATCAATTACGTCAGCTTTACAAACAAAAAGTCGCATTAAAATCGGTCCATTGTGGAGGCTTTTATAATATAATGGTTATAATAACTAAAGAACAAATCACACAATGCCATCTAAATTCAAGCTAAGCATAGCTTGTGTTATATGTAGGTACTAGACAACTGATATATTTTTTTTGTAAATATATACGTAATATACATAGGAAACACACAGACTGATACTATCGTAAACATGAATACAAATGTTTGTACTACTAGTAGTGATAGTGATATTGTATCAAAATCCATTGTGTAGTTTAGAATAATTAAGTAGAAAAAGAATGAAACTAAATTGAGTTTTAAAAAAGCTTTGTCATAAATCAAGCAAAAAAAGAATGAAATTAAATTGAGTTATCAAAAAAGCAGAGTTATCGTAACTTGAAACTTAACTTTTCCCTGAGCCAAATAACTGTTTTAAAAATCATAACTAATATATTTATCGAGATAGAGAGTTGAAAATTGCTATATATGTATATAGAAGGAAGAAAGCGCAATGTCATCTTGAAAAACTCAAATTTACAATAATTCTTTCAGATTTATTTATTTCAAAAATTCGTAAACTCCTATATTTATCAAGACAGAATATTGAAAATTGATATGTATGGATGCTAGCAGTGCAGAACCTGTCGTCGAGGAGATTATTGGGAGAGACCTTTGTTCAGGAGTGGTAGTCTTCCATGCTGGAATGATGATGGTGATAATATAACAAAAAATGATTCTAACCTCAATTTAGTGTACAAAATATAAATATTAAATACAATTAACAGTCACTATTAAGTTTCATCTCAAACTGCAAACATGAATGAACTAAATGTAGTTGCATTGTGTCAAGTTTTCGTGTCGTGTTGTTTGTGGGAGTGTTTTGAAAACATTGATACGGTTTTTCTATCCTTTTTATCCTTAATCTGTGTTTTAATTTGTACGTCTCTTTCGTGCAGTTATTCAAGGTCCCGTTGTACTGTACAAGATGTTTTAGTTCTTTAAGTTGATGCTGTGATAAACAGTTATTTAAACCAGTTATTTAAACATCGGGCACCGCATCCTGCACAGCTCATACATTTCACCTCATCATACACTATGCTAATTTTATGTATTGGTGATTGGCCGCCAGCGTTTGCATATTCTCCCGTACCATGATACATTATGACTCGGACGTTTCTTAGATGCGCCCCAGAATATATATTCAAATGTTGTTAGCCGCAGCTGTCCTTTACAGCTTCACCGAACGATAGGGGACGAGTGCAGATGGCACTCTAAATCCGCGGCAGGACTTATGGAGCGGCTGAAGGCCAACTCTTTCTTGACGAATACGAGTTCAGTCTGAGGTCACCACTGGGGGTTCGAACCTCCGTTCAGGCCGACGTAATATCGATCCCCATATCAATTGGACGGGAATTGATCGGAGGCTGATTATATATATACGGAGACTCCGCAATATTGTGTAGTATATATTTATATAAGCACTTTGTTATTTTACAATCTTTAACGATGAATCTGTCTTTGCTAAAGGAAACATACCAATGTTTTGTAATATGCTCATAGTAATTTAAAAATATGGTTTTCAAAAATTGTAATCAGAAAGATAATTAAAATAATTTGGCTCATATTTGTCTCTATTGATTGAAGCAAGGGGTAAATACTCTATACCTATTACGTATATTTTGAATGCAATATAATTTCACAATTTATAACTTGACTTGACGGCCTTGATGGTCCAGTAGTTCAGCACACCTTACTTGCGATGGTCGCTGGTTTAATATCATGTAGTTACGTTACATGTACAGTATGGTTGTTTTCACAAAAAAATGTATTTCGTTTTTCTATCTGTTGTCTCTTTCCATAACACAAGCTTGGGATTTAGAGATTACAATGAAATAACCTTATAGCAAAAGGAGATCACTTTCGGGCATCCAAAATACATACACATACAGCTTGGGATTATATGATGCTGTGTGAATTGTACAGGGTTATTATTATTTCAAATTCAAATTCAAATCTTTATTCATGTAGGTCTATTACAGACTCTATAAATAACTAAAAACTCAATCATAACTCTTATGATATGCCAAATATACTAAATTATACATAACTACTATACTAGTATGAAATTAAACAAACGAGTACATTTTGTAATACTTTATTACATATCCGTAAAAAAGTGGACAATTTTTTTTTTGTGTTATTTTGTTCATATTATTCATATATAAAATTATTGGTCAGAAAAGGTGGTTAATTAGTTGCCGTATTTTTAACATAATATTTTAAATGGAGACAATATTTTCTAGAACTAGTCTGAGTTTCTTTGCATAGTATAAAATGAAGTGGCTTCCGTAGTCTTTTTGCTTAAATCTTTTAAACTACGCAACGGATTTTAATGCAGTTTTTAGCAGTAGATAGAGTGTTTCAAGGGGAACATCCGATACCAATATATAAAGTAACAATCTTGTTATTTATTCGTCCTATGATCGCTTGCCATCAGGCGGGCCGTTTGTATATCACTCTCACCCTTTACGTAGAAGTGTCCAATTCTTAAGCTACATGTTCCTTTCTACTATATACTATGTTTTAATTTACAATATATCCATTTAAAATAACATAACGGAAGCTTATATAAATTTACAAATATTTAACCGAACTTTATTTTACCCGCCATTTTCTTCAATATGTTTTCGTTGATTCTGTAAAGGAAGATACATTGTTTATTATTACAAAAATAGATAAAAATTCTTATAAATATTACAAAAAAAAGATGATAATAATAATATGTATTATAAAATATATCTTATGCTAGTGTAGGTGTACATTTTCTCTTATTGAAAGATAAACACGTCACATGTGGAAGTCGGAAAGGAATCTCTCCAGTACATCGTTACATATTTTAGAAATATTTTTAAGATTTTCATTCAACATCATCATCATCATCATCGCAGCCCGGAAGACGTCCACTGCTGAACAAAGGCCTCCTACAAAAATTGGTGCCACGACGATTGGTCCTGCGCTGCAAGGCACCTACCAAGAACTCATGAATGGAGTGCTAGTATTCGAGGCGCTGCGCTGATAGAAATGGGAGAGAAAGTTGGAGAAGAAAAACAGAAGCAAATACCTGTAGCCTACGAAACGCAATAGTCTGTGGTGAGTTTATACTTTATTTAGAATAATTGCATTCTGTATGTCTAGAACTTAGAGACTAATGGTAGTGTTAGGGAAACTACTCTGCTACCAAAATGTTAGGGAAGCGTCAGTCATTTACCTTTATGGTTCTGCGGATTTCTTGGGCTTCAGGGTCTCGAAGGTATCTTCGCTAGCATTCCAGCTTCACAGTAGGTTTCACAGTAGGTTAACACAGTTCTAATTTATTTTAATTCACAACACAAAGCGCGCGCGCGTCAAGGCCGCTGTACAGTCCGTTTGTTACTAGTTAGGGAGGGGAAGGGAACGCGCGGGAACAGAAAACTAACGGACTCTAATATAATATAATATCTGTGCTTACGATGATACAGGGTAGATTTTGAACAGGTAGTATATTTTCAATCAATAACGTGCTTACTAATAATTTTCCTGTCCGAGAATTACTACAATGCCATCTGCTTAGATACCTCCGTCTTACCCAAATTTACTTAGACACAATTAACGCCTCACTGCGATCTTGACCAGATCATCGGTCCACCTTGCTGGAGGCCTTCCCACGCTGCGTCTTCCGGTACGCGGGCGCCACTCGAGGACTTTATAGACTCGAGGATTTTATTAATTCAAATTTTGTGTTATAATACTTACATATTTGGTATTACAAGTTTGGAAATGTGGTGTTTCGAAGATTAGTAATTTATGGATAGCCCCATTATAGAAATTATAGCATATCTAACCTTCGTACTGAAGCTCGTCTCCTAGATTGAAGATCGAAGGCGAGAGGGTCCATCTCTATATGGGAGTTGCTGTCCAGGCCAGGCATGAAATCGGAGAAACCTTCGCTATGAGTAGCAACTGGTGAAGAGGATAGGACCATCAAAAAGACCTATCTATTAGTTTTGCACTTCACCTTAATTCTTATGGTCGCGGGTTCGATTCCTCGCACGGCGCAAACATCTGTTCATTCTGAGAATGAGTGTTTGTATTGGTCTGGATGCTTTCTACATATAACAAAAAGGTATTTACAATATATATTTGTATCAGTTGTCTAGTACTCATAACACAAGCTGTGCTTAACTTGAGACTAGATGGCGCTGTGTGTATTGTCCAAGATTATTATTATACTAGCTAAGTTACGCAACTTCGTCTGCATTATACTTATGTAAATTACATAATAACGTATTAAATACTCTATATGTTATTCTGATGTATAAGCTACATTACTGTAAAGTTTCATCAAAATCCGTTCAGTAGTTTTTGCGTGAAATAGTAACAAACATCCACCCATCCATACTCATAAACTTTCGCGTTTATAATATTAGTAAGAAAGATAAAACAAGCTGTATCATTACATAGTATAAAATAAAGTCGCCGTCGCTGTCTGTCCCTATGTATGCTTAAATCTACAAAACACCCAACGGATTTTGAAGCAGTTTTTTTAAAAGAGATTCTAGATGAAGGTTTGTATATGATGTACACCCGTAGGTCGAAGTAGGGGCGAGTAGCTAGTCTATCATAAAAAACGTTGCAAACATTGCTTCTGCTACTCTGCTATCGGTATTTCCAAATACATTATCCCATCAAAATCCAATTTCTTAGCGATAGTTTAATGGGAATCTTATTGCATTCTACTTCACTAGAAGAGCACTATTTAAGTTAATATACTGTGTACTATTCACATGCCTTGCTTTATATATAGTAAGATATTTTCCTGCTGTAAAATAGAGGCTACATTTTAAGTTAATAATAAAATAATGTCTCAGGACAATTCTCAAGCTAAGCAGAGTTTGTCTTATGGATACTAGACAACTGATATAAATACGTAGATATATATTTTTTGTAAATACATACATACTATATATAGAAAACATCCAGACTGATACAAACAATCCGATAAAAACATATACTTATGAATACAAATGTTTATGCAGCGCGAGGAATCGAACCCGCGATATCGGAAGTAGAAGTGCTAAACCGCTAAACCGCTAAATACATAGACAGTAAAATGCAAAAAAAAATAACTTAGTAATATTAAATATGGTAATCTTCATAATATTACAAACGCGATAGTTTGTGAGTATCTTTGTTACTCTTTCACGCAAAAACTACTGAACGGATTTTGATGAAACTTTTCAGTAATATAACTTATGCATCAGAATAACAGAGGCTATTTTTAATTAAATTTATCGCGGGTGAAACCGCGGGCACAGTTAGTTAATAATAAGTTAAATGATTACCAATATCGCTGGCATGTAAACTTCCATCGTAGTAGAAATTACCTTCGGTGTCGGGTTTTATTTCTGTAAACGAATATATACTTTATATCAACTCAATAGAACTGAATGTAAATTCCAGAGAGTCGTGACTTTGTGGTTTACAACTCTGTCTCTACTCTGTGTAGAGTAAGTGTTTATTACCAAGGGGTTGAATCTGACCACCACTAAAGTAAATCAATCAAACGACTAAGCAATATTATTTTGAATTCAACCCAAATAGACACAATAGGTGGTTGTAGTGTATGTGGAAAGAGAAGGAAGCATTATGTCGTCTCTATCGCACACTGCTGGCGTCATACTGTCGTTTTGCTGTGAACAGCAAGTGAGAATAGTGGTGTGTCTGAGAGATAGTAATTAATAAGACAAACAATACAGAGCTCTCAGTAAAAAACTCGAACTAACAATCATAGTTAATAAGTCGGTATCATAGCCCACTAGGCCCTCCTCTTATCAAATTGTTAAGTTTAATTGAAATAATTACCATATTGTTTCAGGTGAGATTCTAATTCTTCGTTATCTAAAAAAGAATAATTATATTTTAATTAGTAATAATAACAGAGGCTTCTTCAGAGGCATGCTTTTTACAAAATTATTTGAGTGGATTTGCTGAGAAAAAGCGTCTTTCTTTTAATGTTTTGTATCCTAATATACATGGAGATTTTTCTTTTAATGTTTTGTATTCTAATATACATGGATATATGGCAACTACTGCCTACAAATGGTACATAGGCACAATGACAATTATTGATTATCATATCTGTTTACAATAATCCCAAAAATGATTAGGAGAAAAAAAATATTAACAACTTTGTCATAGTGCATTTTGGGATAACACTAGAATTTTAGTGTTTTGCCATTCTAGCCACTTAAAATTATAATATTTACTAAATCATTACATAGTATAAAATAAAGTCGCTGTCGCTGTCTGTCCGTCCCTATGTATATAATCTTTAAAACTACGCGACGGATATTGAAGCGGTTTTTTTAGTAGATAGAGTGATTCAAGAGGAAGGTTTATATATATGTATAATATATGTACACCCGTTTACTAAATATCAGTTAAAAATTTATAAATTAATGAAGTATATACACAAAAATATTTATAGCTACTAATATCAGATTATATTACTAATTTTACAGCTTTACGCGAATGACGGCAAACAAGCTGATTATTTTATTAAAAAAGTGAATAAAATGTGTCGAAATTTTATGCATTTAAATAAAGGGTCAGTGGTAAATATCATCTTCCAGTTTGATAAGTATTTAATCATTGAGCAATAATTCGTCATTAGTTAACGTATTGTAAGGAGTATAAATATGTTTATTTACTTCACCTGGAAAAAATATGTTGTTTTGCGTTGATTCAGCAATAGCAGTAACCACTGGAGTATTTGTAGCCGGAATTGATGATGTAGTAGATGAATAGAATGTACTAGTAGAAGCTAAAACAAACAAAGATTAGATTTTTAGAACAATTGACATTTATGGCAGTTCTTCATAATTGAAGCAGGCAGATGAACCAAACGATAGGGTTAAAAATTGTGATAAAACTTGCCATGCATACGTGGCTAAAATTGTTTCGTATGAATAAACGCTTTTGATTTTTTAATATAAATGATAATGCGAGTTTGCATTAGAATATTATTTTTTAGTTAAACGACATTAACATGGTACTTTGTATCCAGACGTTTCATTAATCGTACGTTTTATTTTCTTTTGTAAATTTTATGTACGCTGTCTCGTGTGCGGTGGCCCCACTGAAAATCAGCGATATGTATAACTGTACTACAGTATAAATGCTGAGTGGTAGTCACATTCAGAGTTACTACTATATTTTAGCTTTTAAGTTGTATAGTAAATAAGAATACTGTAATGCTGAATAAATGTGTTTATTATTATATAAAAATGCAAAGTTACAACAATTATTTAAAAGAGCAACACGCAAGTTACTAGTTCTTCTTTTGATTATCTATTGAACGGTAGATTAAAATAAGTGATGATCAAAATTGATTCAATGTAAGTTTATTTGAATAAATAATTTTATCTTAATTATTTTATGTGAAAAGTTTGCAGAGAATTTGCTATCAATAGTTTCTATCAACGCACATTGTGTATTTTTGTTGTATTTTTCATTGTGTGTTGTTGTTGTATTTTTCATGTATCATATTTTTTTAAAGTTATGACAATATTAAGATTAATACTCACTTGAGGGACTTTTTGTCACCGTGTCTTTATTATTAAGGGCTTGTTTTTTTGTAGTAAATTCTTTCGGCTTTTGTTCAGATGAAAGTTGCATAGGAAATTTCATATCTAAAAATTATAAGGATGCATTTCTTATATTATAATTTAATATTTATGTTAGGTAATAATAATAATATATTTTAATCAGTATTATGAAACTTACCTATACTCTTTAATCTGCGCAGTGATTTTTCTATACACCATCTAAGTGCCTGTTGATTTGTATTTTGACCAATCTCATTACAAAATTTTGTAGCCATCGATCTAAAAGGATCGTTATTTACATCTATATTTATTGTTGGCGTAAGAGTTGCTGAGTGAAAAATCAAATTATTTGGGTTCTCATCTTTACTATGATTATTGGTAATAATTTCCGATTTGCCACGGTTGTGTCTTTTCAATTTGTCTGCAGAATGATGATGAATCCATCTTTTCTCTCTATGCATCTGGTTGTACTGCGTCGAAAGATTTACTGGTATCATTATCGTACTATTCAATTTGCTAAGTTCCTTCTCTTTATTCCTCTTATTTTTTACATTGCGTGTTAATTCTACATTTCTATTATTGGTTACAAAATTCGATAACACTTTGCTTCTCATTAAATTATCTATAAATGTGTTATTAAAGTAATATTTATAAATTAAATCATCTACGGGATGTTCATCTTTGTCTTTTAAAATGAGAGCGTCCTGGTCGACAAGTTCAGTATAGACAGGTATCGAAAACAAATCAATTTTTATAGATTCTGTCACAGTCGGCATTGTAGTAGGTGTGTGAGTAACTGTTTTAGATTTATCAGCACTACCATCCGCTTTATTTAGTTTAGTGACTTGTTTGCTGTCCAAGTATATTTGTTTAGCCTTTTTCAATATCCTAGCAAAATTGTTTTGCCTATGTGAAATTTCACTTTGTGTTCTCAATATAAGGTTTTGTTTTATATTAATTTTCTCATTTTGGGCTAACATTAGTTTTTGAATATTATAAAATTGCCTTTGTTGCGCTAGAAATTTTTTTTGTTCGTTTTCAAATTCAATCAAGTTCTGAGATATTTCTTTGTGTTTCTCTTTAAAATTTTCTAGTTTAGCTTCTAATTCTTTACTTTTTTCATTAAATTCAACTAAATGTACATATTTTACATTGAAGTCTTCAAGCTTCTTAGTTAAGTCTAATATTTTTTTCTCTATTTCCTCTTTAGTTGTTTGTATTTTATTACGAATGATTTTGATGTCGTTATATTGCTTATTTATTTTTTTAATCGTTTTGGTAAGCATCGATAATACTTTGATCATTCCTCTTTCATTTATTCTACCGTTCTCAAATTTTTGTGTATATTTTTGCCAAATTCTTGGATCATTATTAAATACATTTCTATAATATGTTACGGGCTCTACAGTACCGTTTATTTCTTCATCATATTCAATTTTTTTAATTATCCTAGACTCGTAATCACCTTTCATACTCCGTTTTGGTAATGTTATATTTGAATTGTTACTTAAAATTACGTCCTTTAGAACGATAGGTTCAATATTTACTGATATATTTTTAGCTTCATTCAAGGTTAAATTATCAGGTTTACTTTCATTTACAGTACGTAAATGGTTTATAGAATCCGTGTTACCAAGCAGTACAGCCACTTCATAGGGATAATCATTAAAAACGGACGCAGGTCTCAATTTTGCTATTAATTTAGACTTGCTTAACAACTTGTCATTAGCATACGATCCTATGAGACAATCTGAGTGGCCATCGCAATTCTTTAAACCTTTTCCAATATGTTTTTTCTTGAGGTCTGAAAATAAAAATCTTACTAATATTATAAACACGAAAGTTTCTGAGCGTGGATGGATAGATGGATGTTTGTTCTTCTTTCACGCAAAAACTACAGAATGGATTTTAATGAAACTTTACAATATAACTTATACATCAGAATAACACGGTATAAATTTCACGCAGATAAAACCCCAGGCACAATTACATTACAGTATACAGAAAATATTTTTAGTTTATTCTTATCGTCATTATAATTAAAAAGTCAGCTGACTAAACGGGAAATTATCACAAAAATCATATGTTAATTCAGTACTCTAGTATATGTTTATAAAAAAAAACTATCTATGACTGATTAAGCACATGCTGCATTCATATTATCCGTCTACTTTAAAAATATAGGTTCTTACGATCGGATGCTCTCTTCGATCTCTCCACATAATTTGAAACAAACGGTGTATCTTTCGCCTCATTGTCTCCAAACGCGTAAAAGTTGTTGTCAAGTAAATCGTCCACATTTAACGAATTCGCTCGAAAAATGAATTCACCGGCAGATGATTTTTCGAAGAAGTTCTCCTTATTCTTTTTCATCCAAATGCCTTTATTCACTATATTGTTCCTTTCCAATTTAGGCTTCAGAAAATCCGGTTCCGATTTCAAGATTGTTGATTTAATTATTATTAAATTAAATAAAAATATCGATATAACAATTTTATAATACATCACTACAACTTGAGCATATCCTGTGGCAATGAGACTCGAATGTTTGGAATTTAGTAGGTATTTCAACTGTAATCGGATGAGTTTTTGCTTTGTTTATAAATAAAGTTTATATGGATTAGTGATGTGGTGAATTTAATTTCTCAGTTTAATAATATCAATTAATTTACATTCACTTATTAGTTAAATTACCGGAATTGAAGGACGTTTATTTATGTATTTTTTACTTCTTTCATAACAAAATGTTGCGTGCTATAACTATTCAACTACGTCTATATCAGATTCAAATATCAATTGGGAAAGCAGATTTACGTGACAAGATCGGATGGAAATCTTGTATATTCATCTTTTTTGTATAGATTTTAATACAATTTTTTAAAATTTCAAGGATATATATTGTATCTTTGAAATTTAGTGTCCTGTTTTCAAAAAATATAAAGTCATAATAGGATATCTTGAAACGTAAGTATTAGGAGGAACATAGTCACATCCTTTAGCAGTTGACTAAATACTTTGTGTTTGAAGCAACAATCACATTTAATTTGGGATTGATTCCATACATTCATTATTATTAATTTTTTTTTACCATTATATTTTACCGTCACCTGCCACCTTTTGTCTTTTCTCCTATACCCAAAGGTTGTCTGGAAGAGATTGCTGAAGCAATAAGGCCGGCTTTGGGATCCTATTGCTCTCTTAATTATGATTCCTGTAATTTATATGGTGCAAAAAATAAATAAAATAAATATTGAAATTATCGGTCTCAAAACGGCAGTGAGCAGTCGGCTGATAATCTAGATAATTACGAAAGCTTGGGAGGAAAGCTGTTATTAGCAAGGTCACCAATTGCTTGTATAACATGTCAGTTGACTTTCCTAGAAGCAATCATTGATTGCTGACGATTTTATTTCTATCGATAGCTTATCGATAACAGTACACCACTAGTCGCTCAGTTCCACAGTGTATTGTTTACATTTCAAGTAAAATTCTTTATTTATACACAGTTCTACTATTGAATAAATTTTGACCTCCTTTTTCTATATGATAAGTTTGTTTGCAGTTTTATGCTCCTTTGTAAACAACAAAATATAATGTAGCAGTGATTTTATTTGAATTTAACACACTTTCCTAATTCCGATTATCAATTCACTAGGTATTTATATTTTATATTTTAGAGCAAAAATATTTTAATAATTTTGCGAATCGCCAGTACGTTGACAATTTAAAAATTTACTAAAATTTGATTATCATTGCCTGTAACTAAATTATACCTGAATTTCCTCTTGTTCTCATCCAATATGAAGTATATGTATGTAGTTAAATAATATTTATTAGTATGTAAGTTTATTTAAAGTTTATCTATAAGTCTATATTAAATAATTATATGTACATTTTATTTGATCTTTTTTTTTCGTTTTAATGTTGATATTGTATTTTCTACATTGCACTGAATAAAATATTTTTCTTTCTTTCAAATATAGTATCTAGTATGCACCCTCTACCTTCTCTCTCTATGGAAATACTCTGGAAATACTCTCAGTCAAGATATTGCTAATAGCGATAAGGCCGCTTTTTGTAAAACATTTTATAGATATTTCTGTTGTTTTTTGTTTATCTGTGCACAATAAAGAGCTATTATTATTATTAATAGTACGAGTGGGTATAGAAGAATAGAAATTTAATTATGAAAAAAACTGACTTTTAACTTGTTATGTCATATATTTATTAAACAGTGTATTATTGTTTAGTACATTATTGTTGTGTAGATTAATCTTGTTATTTTTAATTAATGATGTTAGCTTCGAAAAATTTCTTGAATGTAGTTATTTTGCACTATTGTTCTTTTTTCTGTAACAATACAAATTTTTTTATTATAAAATTTATATTTCCTCATAATCTAAGAAGAAATCTACAAATATATGGATATATAAGTATATATATCTTGAATAATTGACAGCTTCACTACCTGGACTTGAAGTGAAAGCTGGTAAGTTCTATCTTGACCGTCACAAAACAAAACTATGTTAATTTATATTTCTGAATTATTTTTATTAAAACGAATTATGTAGGGATAATATTAATAATATTATATGACAACTGTAATAAATACTTAGATATCTTTTAGTACATCATATACATATAAACACCAATACAAACAATCACACTTATGAATTCAAATTATATATATTAATTATTAATAATTAATTATTTCAAAAAATATTGTTTGCATCGAGCGAGGAATCGAACCCGTGGCCTTCGGCGGCGTGCTTACTCGCTAGGCTACCGAGGCCGTCATAGTAGGGATATTGTAATACAATTTGATAAAGGTAGGTAGGTTTACTCCCTGCTATGTTAGATATAAAACTAATCTACGAAATGAAGACATGTCAATTGGGGCCTTCACTAAGACGACTACACATCGACAAATGACAATTCCTCTGAAGTTACGTAGAGTCAATGGTAAAATATATTTACTTTTCAAAACACGGCATTTCCCAGAACTTTTGCCCTTTGCCAAATTCCTCTCCATCTTCGATGGTCTGTGGCATCGGCTTCCCGGTTGACTCCGGCAGGAACAGGCAGAGGGATCCACCGAAGATGCCCAGCACACCCAGGATTAGTAATGGTATGATTGTGTTTATTGTGGCCTGAGAAGAGAGAAGTTTTTATAAGGGTGAGTCCACATCAACGGCAACTTACGTAATAAAACTACATTACGTTACAGTCCACATCATACTATAAATCATCACTATAAATCTACATTACGTTACACCCCCTTCAGCAAGTCGCCCTACCCCCATTTTTACAGTTGATAATGCATCATTTTTAATTAATGATAATGGAATTGCAATAAAGGTATACATTGTAGAGGCACCAGCTGAATATGATAGTAAAGCTATAGGTAACACCAACGAACCTACAACATAGCCTGCCTATCCTAAATCTACCGCCGAATAGATACATCAAAATGCAAAAAGCAATAATAAATACTAGTCCAGTAAAGTCTACTTTTGGAGCAATATATAAAAATACGTCCGCAGAACTGTTGCGCCAAAACTGGTCACAACATGTTTAATTTAAAATTTTAGTGGACTATACCTGACGTATCGTACGTAAATTTTTACAGGAAGATAACACAGTTAATTAAAGTTAAGCTACTTTTTTCAAAGCTACTTGGTCAGTGTGACCCGTAACTCTAATTTGTAATACCGAATAATTTCGAGAACATAAAATAAATGAATAAATAATAATAATAAATTTTATTTAGCTACAACCGTACACAGGTCTTACTGAAGCTGTATGTACACGTCTAACTACACCTCCTATGTAGTTGGAGCAATCATGCATAAACAAAACATCTCCTATAGAAAGTATACACTCTATCCTGAGGAGATACGGTTTGTATCACCTCAGGTCTCCTCAGGTTTTTATCGCTCCTAAGTACATATATCCTTCAATTCTAGTCCTTGACTGGTCTAAGTAGCAAACTTTCAAAAAGAGCGAGCAAAATAGATCTATGCAGGTCGCAGTGTTACTTAGCACATGATACTACACCCTTTCAAAAAGGGCGAGCAAAATAGATTTATGTAAGTTGCAGTGCTACAGAACTTAGTACCTGACGATAGCCCAAATTCCTTAATAAAAAAAAATACCGGAGCTTAATAAATTTGATTGTTAATAATATTTAGTTTAAAAATTCATCATAACTTACTAAATACACAATATAAGGCACAAGAACAGTCGCAATGTAGCCTGCAATGTGGATGAGACATAACCCTTGTGCTCTGACGACGGTAGGCAATAATTCTGCTGCATACTGCATGCCGATATTGTATGATATGTTGACAGCGAAACGACCAATAATGGCCAGTGATGCTGATGGCATACCTGTTGAAATAATAATATATATAATAAAACATAATGAATTGAAAATAGAAATGAATTTATATTATTTTGTTTAATTCCGCTACCATTAGCATGTATTAGACCACAAATATTCAGTGCGGAAACCTGACCACTGCTATTAGCTGTTATTTCGAATTATGTGTTATTTTGCGGAAATACATTTCATTGCTTAATGGATTTATATTATTTTGTTTAATTCCGCTAATATTAGCATGTGTGAGACCACAAATATTCAGTGCGGAAAATTGACCACCTCTACTGAAAGCGTTACGAACTTCTGTACTGGTGAATAAATTTCGATAATTATGGGGTCTACATATACACGTGTTTCGCCTCGGAACAAGGCATCATCAGGCAATAAATAGAGTTCGAAAGTTTAGTGTTGACTGTTCGGTGACCATACTGCGTCTTTGTTCGGTGAAGCTGTATGAAGGCCAGCACGTATTAAGTTCTAAAGCTGCGGCTAACAGCATGAGAAAAATTCGGAACAAGCCTCGTACATGAAATAGACCAATGTGTATGGTGGATGGTTTGTATGTTCGGCGGTGGATAATAGTTAGAACTATTACTCACCAACAGGTACCGTGGTTGCTAGTAGACTGAAGATTCCACTGGTCATCATGGAGCCGAATGCAACCCACCGACGACCAGCTCTGTGAATGATATTACAGAAATATTAAATGAACTTGTAAACTGAGATAAATAAAGCCGACTTTATATTTTTCAATGTCTATAGAAACTGATATTACAAGAGAAAATATATTTGTTTTTAATGGATAAACTCAAAAAAAATTCTCCTCGTTGGACGAGTTGGATTCTATTTTCTAAACAATTTGAGGCACTTTCCCTTTCCTTAGGATAGAGTGTGTACTTGTCAAAGGAGACATTTCGTTTACAATTGGGCTACGACTACATAGGATGTTCAGTGGCGTTTCCTCATCAACTTGCCAAAATCTGCAAACTTTGGTTAAGCACGGGCGTTTAGTATATTTGCTAATTCATCATCATCATCTACTTCTTCCTTATCCCATTTATTTGGGGTCGCTGTAATATGTTTTTCTCTTCCAGTCATCCCTGTTCGCAGTTAGTTCGTAGTTATGTACTCCCTTTGTTACCATATCATCTTTCACGCAGTTCATCTACATCTTTTTCGGTCTTTCTTTCCTGCCCTTATTACGATCCACATTCATATGTAACACTTTCCTTAAGATATGATCTTCTATCCTACGCATTACATGCCCATACCACGATAGACGGTTACTCTTTTACCTCGCCGACACCGGCGTCACTTTCATACTTCCTCTAAAGTATTCATTCTTTGTCTTATCCATTGTTGTCACACCACACATCCATCTCAACATATTTGCTAATACAACGACAAAAATGGTACTCACATATCAAGCGTTAATATCAAAAGTACATCAGCTGGAAATTCCGTGGCGGTAGCAATCGTAAACGTCAGAAATACATCCAGACCCAGAGATCCAACGTTCCTGACGTGGCCATCGAAAACCATAGCTATTGATATCCATATGAAGAGCAGCAGGACACTGTGGCGTCGGAGTCGGGGACTCTTGAAGAGATCCAAGAACGAGTAACTTTTGGCTTCCTCGTCGGCCTTGGCTATAGCCAGTGCAGTTTCCTGTTTTAAAAATATATTATGTAATTTTTTTTAGCATAGGGAACAAACGAACTTACGGCTCACCTGATGGTAAGCAATGTGCCGCTCATGATCAATCACGATATCAAGGGAATTGCAAGTGCGTTGCCTATGCGTCTTTCTAATATTATAAATGGAAAAGTAACTCTGTCTGTCTGCTTGTCGAGTCTACTAGACCGATTTAAATGAAATTTTGTACAAAAATAGTATAGACCCTGAGAACGGAGATGGGATACTTTTTAATGCGGAAAAGTGTTAAAATGGGAGATGAAAGGTTGTGTGGAAGTATCGTCATGTTTAAAGCTAGTAGCCTAAAACTTATTTTTTACGCTGTTAATTAAATATAAATAAATATAACATTCCAAGTTTGTAAAAAACTACCAAAACAAAGTAATAAGTACCTTGAACTCCATTGCAATCGCTGTAGGGATTTTCTTCCTGTTGACTCTTTCCACTTTTTTGAGGATTTGCATTGCTTTCTCTATGCGACCTTGCGATATCAGCCATCTGGGGAAAGTTATAAAATTAATGTTCTAGTTATTGATGTATTATCGTCCTGATATTATAAATACGAAAGTTTGTGAGCGAGTGTGTGAAGGATGGATGATTGTTACTCTTTCACTTTACAGTAATATAGCAATTACATCAGAATAACACATAGGCTATAATTAAAAAAAAAACGTTCATTGGGCTAAATAAATATAATGAAAAATGACCAGTAAGTGTGATGCAGATCAAGTTGTGCAGTTTTGTTAGCAACAATTACTTAACCTGTTAGTAAAAATATGTGGGACAACCTCATAAAGTATCACCAGTGTCTCAGAATGAGATGGTATATTTTATAGGCAAACAAAATTATATTTATTTATTTATTTAACTTTAATGCACACAATATAATATATAGTACAGTACATTTGGCGGACTTAACACCATGCGGCATTTTCTACCAGGCAACCATAGGTGGTGCAGAGAATAAATGTTGGAGGTGCAAAATTATAAACGTTATATCTTGTTTTCCTTTAATATATAAAATTCTCGTGTGAGAAGACTTAGAAACAGCTTCATCGATTTTTATGAAATTTTATGTGTATATTCAGTAGTTTTATGAACAGGACATAAATTATTTTTCATACCCTTTAGTGATAAGGGTGAGCTACCAAATTTTTTTAATTTTTAGACCAATTTTTTTTGTGTCGGTATTGAAAATACGTGCAAATTAAAATTTCTTTCTTCTACAATCAACCTTTATTTTAAAGTGTCAGTAATTTATAAGGTATGTAAAACAACGTTTGTTGGGTCAACTGGTGTAAATACTGCTATTGAATAGGCGAGATTAAGGTATCCCCGCAGACGACTTTTTACAGTCCATCTCAGTAATACATAATTGATGTTTATGTTATAAGAGAACTTTTGGGTTTTCGTTACCGTACATTATATTGAACTTAATCTTTTACAGTTCATCTCAGTAAAACTTATTTGATGTTTGTGTTTTTTAAAACCTTGTTTTTTATTAACTAAATTTATTTTGGGGTTTTTGTTACCAAACATTTCAACCCCATTATATTAAACCGAATAATAACTCTTAAAAATACTAAATATAAATTAAATAATTACCGACTGAGAAGGATCAATGATTGAGAAGGATTTATCAATTTTTTTAACGCACAGAATCAAAGCGAATTTTCAGAAAAAGGGAGAAAACTAACCTGGCACTCTCCGGGACCACCCAAGGTGTTAATATAGATAAACCTATAGGTACACTGGTTATTAAAGTGTAGGTCTTCCAATTGGCCACTCCTAGAGCTATCCAGGGTAGGAGACAGGCGGCCAGAGTGAAGTATACAGCTATTGACATGTTGGCTACAAACGTTCGCCACTTTGGGCCAACATACTCCAACACTGGAACAATTATACAATTAAATTAATTAAAGTCATATTTTTTATTTAATAAACGAAAATGGAAATACAAATAATATCGGAATCGAACTTGTGATTATCAAGACAGTATTTTAAACTGCTTCATCATCGAGGTTGTCAAAATATACAAAACAAATATATACATATGTAATAGATATTCTAATACCTATATATAACAATCTCGTATCGCGGTGTTCTCCTCCGATACGATTTTACTAATTTTTAAGAAATTTTGTGTACATAACGGATAGGTCTGAGAATCGGTCAATACCTATATTTCATATCCAATGATAAGGGTGAGCGACGTCAACATCTATATTTGATACCCCTCAATGGTAAGGGTAACCCACCCATAAAAACTTTATTACTTTTTTGTCAAATGTTTTTGTTTTAAATATTTCTATAATCCACCATTTTAAATACATACAACTAATAAATTGTCACGGTTCTAAATTTCCACCATTTTTAATAACGATTTGAATTTATATGGTAAAATAATTTGCGGGGTCAGCTAGTACCTACCTATGATGTACATGATGACGAAGCAGTTATCATACGCCAGCCCCACGAGGAACCGGCACACGCAGAACGACCAGAAACTGTCGGCGAATGCAGTCCCCACACCGGCCAAGAAGCCAGCCATGTTTGTTCCTGAAAGAAAGTTTCAGCAAATAGTAGCGTTGAATATGATACTAGGGGCTGTATTTATAAATATTCTGTTTGTTGTATATAAAAGTAGTATATTAATATAAAAGTAAATTGCAGACATATAAAGTTATGTAGAACCATATAAAACAATTAGGAATCAGGAGTACCTCCAACTGTTTATCAGGACGTCTCCAGAAGAAGCCATTTTGTAGTGTTTTAGTTTTCCCGCGCAAACGTAATGCGTCTGAGATGCAGAATATTGCACAGCGCGCAATCGCAGCAGGATGACGAGTGCATCATAGCTGTATGTGCGAAGTTAATACTCCACTGCTGAACAAAAATCCCCAAAAATCTCTACGACGATCAGACCTGCGCTGCTCGCGATCAACGCTTTCAAGTAACTGTTTAATATGGTTTAAGAAATCTACCAAAATAACTGAAATACGTTTCACTCATATATTTAGAAGAGTGTGACGTGCACGTACCGATTCACAAGTATTGTCCCAATGCCAGTTCGGTTCTTGCAAGCAAATACTATACGGCAAGTGCCAGCAGGCGCTAGGGCAACTCCCGTATGTGATATATTCTTGGTGAATTTATCACGATGTGGTAACTGCCCTGATTTTATACTTATTTTACTATCCTCCGCTGGTGCTCCGCCAGCGTAAACCGGGTGCAATATTCCATTATCATTCATTAATAGCTGACAGAGGGGTAAAGGGCAATGTTAGTAATGTGAAGTAACACATATTACTTGCAATGGGGTAATCATTGCTAGTAATGGACCATGTTAAGTTGATATTCATGTGGAATATATCCACCTGGAATACATCGCGATAAGTTCCTGTCAAGTTGTCACGATGACAACTGACATATCATCATCATCATCTCAGCCCGGAAGACGTCCACTGCTGGACATAGGCCTCCCCCAAAGATCTCCACGACAATCGGTCCTGTGCTGCTCGCTACCAATGCCTTCCAGCGATCTTGACCAGATTGTTGGTCCACCTTGTTGGAGGCCTTTCCCACGCTTCGTCTTCCGGTCCGTGGTCGCCATTCGAGGACTTTACTGCCCCAACGGCCATCTGTCCTACGAGCTATGTGCCCTGCCCATTGCCACTTCAGAGTCGCAATTCTTCGGGCTATGTCGGTCATTCTGGTTTTTCTTCGGATCTCCTCATTCCCATAGTTAGCGACCACGTCTCTGTTCCGTAAGTCATCACTGGCAACACACATTGGTCGTAAACCTTCGTCTTGAGACACTGCGGAAATTTGGACCAAAAGATATATCTGAGCTTCCCGAACGCTGCCCATCCGAGTTGGATTCGACGATTGACCTGAACTGACATAACTTTATGCTCATCTTATCATCCTCGACTGGTTCTCCACCAGCGTATACCGTTAGTAAAGGCGGATATATCATTCCATAATCACGCATGAAAAATATATATCTCGAACACACTTGTATGATGATTTAAATATAAGATATACTTTCTTACCTAAAAGTGCTGGTACTCTGCCATATTTGTCTGCAATCCATCCGAATATCAACCCTCCGACTATAGAACCACAGAAGAAGACAGACTGAGATGTAGCCGGATAGTTGTCTCTGTCGCACACCCACCCTAACTGCAAATAATTAAGTTAATAATATCTTAGGGCAATTCACACAGCGTCGTCTAGTCTCAAACAGAGCTTATGGGTACTAAACTACGGATATAAATACATACATACATTTTTTTTTGTAAATACGTACATAATATCATAGATAACACCCAGATACAAAGAATATACTCACTAATACAAATGTCTGTACCGTACGAGGAATCGAACCTGCAACCTTTCATATTTAAAGTTGATTTATAAAAATTTTATTTTTTTAGTTAATGCATGCAATTTATAAAGGATATAAATGGGATTTAGTGGGAGCAAATAGCTTTTACTTCTCTCTGCTAAACGTCCATTTATTTCTCTATCTTATTCTACAGTCTTTTATTCCCCGTTCTTTCGCTTCTTCTACTTCGACTCTGCCCAATCCCACCCTAATCCGTTTATAGTCAGTGCGGTCGACTACGCACCGAGGAGTAATATCCGACATACGCGACAACGTCGCCCGAGGCACGTTCTCATTGACCCCGACGACACCATAACGGCAGGTAACCTCCCCACCCGTTCTACCCCGACCACACTTTTACACACACACACGACACCGTCCTCGCCGGCGATGACGACGACCTCAAAGACACAATATCGCGCATTCAACCGGGCGCCTGCGCGCGCCCGGGCGCTCCACGCCGGCGCCCCCGGGCGCCCCTCCGATCGATCCCCCGTCCAATTCAAACGGGGATCGAAATTACGACGGCCTGAGCCGAGGTTCGAACCCCTAGTGGTGCCCTCAGACTAAAGTCGTATCCGTCGGGCAGGAGTTGGCCTTCAGCCGCTCCATAAGTCCTTCCGCGGGTTTGGAGTGCCATCTGCACTCGCACCATAACGTCCGGTGAAGCTGTAAAGGCCAGCTACGGCCAACAGCATTAGAGTAGTCCGAAAAAGGTCCGCTCTTTCGCTATTTTCTCTCTCTCTCTCGCACACATCTGTTTCTCTATCACACAACGTTTTACTTATGCATCAACCTATCCAATCCCCCATATAGAGGGGAAAGGGGATTGTTAGTAATATGGATTGATGGTCTTATTGCTAACAATGTACCATGTCAGATTGACCTTCACGCAGTTCCCCTGACCTGACCTCATGCTCCTCTTATCATCCTCCACTGGTGCCCCGCCAGCGTAAACCGTGATCGCAGGCGGGTGCAACATTTCATTGTCATCCATAAAAAATTCCATATATATTACATGATTTGTATTTACCTGAGTAGCAATAGTTTCATACGGTATATCAGTGAAATTGAATTCCCAACCATTATTGCATTGCTTCGTCGGCCATTCTATGTTCGGTGTAGTGACGCCATCTTGTAAGATTTGTGCCCAGTCTACGTCATAAACAAGGCACCTTTCGTAGCCATCGTTTGATATGGGAATAGACAGGTGACGACTGAAATATAATTAATAATAATAATATATTTTATTTGGATAAGATACTTATAAATTCCTTGTAGAGAATCATACATTACCTCAAGACAGGTTTTGTTTTTATTCTAGTGCTGTTGGCCGCAGCTGGCTTTTACAACTTTATCGGACTATAGAGGGCGAGTGCAGATGGCATTCCAAAGCTGAGGAAATACTTATGGAGTGGCTGAAGAGTAACTTCCGCCTGATATGATACGATACGACTTTCGTTTGAGGGAGGGGTTCGAATCTCAGCACAGGCTATCATACTTTTGATCCCTCTTTAGGGATCGATCCAGAGATACTTGAAGGCACACTAAGCACGTACTATAAGAAGCTCTCAAAATAAAAAAAAATCGAATTGACTCACCGTTCAGCCACTGTCATATTTTCCAACTCCATCTCTAGGGTTCGAATCTCAAAACAGGCCGTCATACTTAAGATCCCGCTTTTATGGGATTAAGGATCGATCAAAGGCGCTATCCTACACCATGAAGCTCGCAAAGTTAAAAAATAAATCGAAATGACTCACCGTTCATCCACTGTCATATTTTCCAACTCCGGCACGTAACACCAATGTTCTGAAGGCACGACTGTCATGAATATCTGAGAGAAGTACACGAAGGCGAAGAAGAAGGAATACGGTATCATCAGGATGAAAAGTAAACGCTGGTACCATCCGAAGCCTCCGATATAAGGGAAGAGATCATCCAAGTCTTTCAAAGTGCTCACTTTGATCCCGCCATTTACTGCAATAAAAGTTTTTTTTAATGACAACATCATAAGAGTCTGTAATTCTCGTAAGCCTACATGAATAAAGATATTTTGATTTGATTGCTTTGGCTTAATAAGACTGATTTACACTTATTCAGATACTCAACCAGTTCGTTGTGACTCTAATAAATTGGTGCTAGTTGGTAGTTTGTATTCACACAAAATTGTAATTTAATGTAATTTTGAAGAACATTTGTTTGATAGAGCTAGTTATTTATAAAAAAACATATATTCAATAGAGCAACACACAAGTTTCTTGCTCGTTCTTCTTGTGATAAACCTGCTTTCCGAATAAGTGGTAGAATAAAAATAATATGTCTATTGAAAACTGCTTATATTAAGTTTATTTGAATAAAGATTATTTCTATTTCTTCAGGTGCACTGGTAGGCGACGATTCCCGTTTACCAGTTTTTTTTTCATTACAATTATTGGCAATACTCGGGATTTTCATTTAAAGATATTTTGAATTTTAATTTGTTTACATTTTTTTTATTGGATGATAATGGAATGGGCACCAGTGGAGGATGATAAGATGAGCATGAGGTCAGGTCAGTTAGCCCATCGAGGGAAATTCACCAGGAATTTATCACGATGGTTTCCAGGCCATGATGGATGGAACCAGTTGGAGACACTTCTATAAATATACATTGTAAATAAACAGATTTTTTAAAAAAAGTAATTTAATTGAGTTTCTCGCCAGTTTTTCTCAATTGGATTTATATAGTGAACTAGATGGTAGGAAAATATTATAATTAAAAAAAAATTACGTTCATAAGCGGCTAAAATGTCCGACATGAATAAACGATTTTTTTATTTGAATTTGAATTACATTAAATAAATTAGTCAAGTATACTATACCTTCAACACATTCATCCGTGTGTTCCAAGTTCACATTCCCGAGGTCAGTGGACACTGGCCCCGTGGTCTTTACAATTTTCTCATGTGATTCCATTCTCGAAGTCGGTTTTTTCCTTATGAGACACTTTTCGCGACGTGCTTCCGCCTACTCAAACTTTAGGAGAAGAATGCGTTTATCTGGAAGAGAAATCTTACTAAGATTAAAAATTGCGAAAGTTTGTGAACATGGATGGATCGATGGATGTTTGTAATTCTGTTACGCAAAAACTACTGAACAGATTTTGATGAAACTGTACAGTAATGTAGCTTATTTATTAGAATAAAACATTTGCTATAAAATATATACGGGTGAAACCGCGAGCACAGCTAGTAATGAAATGAAAATTCTTAATTGTTCATCTCACAGAAAAACTATTATATCTATATACATAAATAAAATTGGTGTGTCTCTTTGTAATATAGAAATAATAGTTTTTTACTACATGCGTATAAACATAAATACGGTACACACTCCAAAATAACATGATTTACAATTTTTGTCTGTCTGTCTGTTTGATTACTCCGGCTAATCGCTGAAATGGCTGAACCGATTTTGACGGGACTATTTTAGCAGGTAGCTGATGTAATAAGGAATAACTTAGGCTAATTTTATTTAGAAAAATATAGTTAAATTCCACGGGGACAAAGTCTAAACAGCTAGTAAATTAATATATATTAAAGTCGTGGAAATATTTGGGGGAGGCCTTTGTTCAGCAGTGTCTTCCAGCATCGTCTCAGTGCTGATGAGAAGTCTATACTAATATTATAAATGCAAAAGTACCTGTATATAAGTATAATTAGTAAATCACGGGATCTTACCACGTTTTACATAATTTTGTTGAGTTCCCGATATTTCGGCAGTGTTTCAACGGCCATAATCAACAACTAAGATCCCAAATGTAGCAACAAACGAAGACGTGTGAAGGTAGACGAATATGTCTGCCCGTAAAAGATTTATTTACCTTCTATCCGCTGCTCTTCTGTTTACCCCTGATCATAGCCGTTGAAACACTGCCTAAATATCGGGAACTCAACATAAATAAACCATGATAAGATCCTGTGATTTACTAATTATACTTATGAATAATGACCGCATCAAACTTAAAACAGTACCTGTAGGTATATGTTTATCTGTCTGTTTGTTACCATTTTATGATTAAACGACTGAATAAATGTTAATGAAATTTTACATGTAGTCATAGATATAGATTGTATACATGTATGTTTTATCTAAAAAACATGTATATTACGGATACTAGTAATTTACACCTGAGAGGAAATCCCTTTATAAATATAACACTACGCCAGACAAACTTACGCATTTATAATATTTACAAAGATAAGAATATCATATTAGATTACTAAGAGTAACGGCCCCGGTGGTCTAGTTGTTTAGAACACCGTTTTACATCCGACGGTCGCGGGTTCGATTCGTCGCACGGTGCAAACGTTTGTATTCATGAGTCTGATTGTTTGTATCGGTCTGGGTGTTTTCTATGTATATTATGTATTTATTATATTTACAAAATGTATATTTAAGTGTTTATATCAGTTGTCTAGTACCCATAACACAAGCTCTGCTTACCGTGGGAATAGATGTCGCTGTGTCAATTGTCCTGGGGTATTATTATTATTATTAAAAACTAGCTGTACTCGCGACTTCGTCCGCGTGGAATTTAACTTTACTTTTCTTGAATAAAAGTAGCCTAAGTTACTCTTTATTACATCAGCTACCTGCCAATAAAAGTCCCGTCAAAATTGGTCCCGCCATTTCAGAGATTAGCCGGTACAAACAGACAGACAGACAATAATTGTAATAAAAAAATTTTTTTTGGTATATTTATTTCAATATTACAAACAGACACTCCAATTTTATTTATTTGTATAGATGTAATACTGCAGTAATTAACATTGCTCGTATGAAATAATTTAGTTTTCGATCAAAAAGAATCTTCTGGATAATTTATTGAAATATTTTAAATGTATTTTATTAATATAATAAATGCGAAAGTCTTTTAGTATGGATGGATAGATATGTACGGATTGTTTTTATAGCACAGGGGACAAACGAGCATGCGGCTCACATATTGGTAAGCGATTACCCATGAGATGTTTGTTACTCTTTCACGCAAAAAGTACTGAACAGATTTTAATGAAACTTTACATTAATATAGCTTATACATCAGAATAACACAGGTTATGATTTCATGCGTGTGAAATAGCGGACACAGCTAATATTTCTATAGATAAATGTTTCGTTTTGATTAATCTGTCGGTTTGTCCGTCCAATTAATATTGGCCTATATGATCGCCAGTTGACCACATGGGTCGGTGTTAATGTTTCGTTCACTTAACCAGTCTAATGACCATACTAATTCTTTGTCTTCGAATTACTCTAATGATGTTGACCGCAGTTGGTCATTACAGATTGATCAAATGACAAACGGGGGTTAATGAACTCCACCCCTGAGAATTTTTTTTTATTGGGTAATTTGGGCTATTGTCAGGTGCTTGGACCAGCACTGCGACCTACATAGATCTATTCTGCTCGCCTTTTTCAAAGTTCGTTACCTAGACCCGTGAGGGACAAGAATTGAATGATATTCTTAGGAGCGATGGTTTTTATCTCCTCAGGAAAGTGACTTTCCAAAGGAGATATTTCGTTTATGCATGAGTGGGATGTGTGAAGGTTTGTGTAAGTCCTCTTAATTGGTAGTAATAACATTAGCAAATTTTCCCACAAATATTAATATTACGGCCCGAGACCCCACCAACATGCAGCCCACCTTCATGAAGGAGGACTTCTGGCAATAGGGTGTCTAGTCTAATGGATCTATCGGCGCTACTGTAGATTGCCGTCATCAGTGCTGTAACCATATAGACAATTTAGTTCCAAGCTAAGCAGTGCTTGTGATACTACTGTGCTTAAAAAAAGTATTATAAAGGTGTGGTGTATCGGCGTACGTTAGTATCTATAATAATAACCCTGACAATTCACACAACGCCATCTAGTTCCAAGCTAAGCAGTGCTTATGATACTACTGTGCTTGTAGTACTTAAAAAAAGTATTATAAGGGTGTGGTGCATCGGCGCTGCCGTGGCAGATTGCCGTCGATAGTGCCGTGACCACACAGACAATTTCAATATGTTAGTTTTATAATATTAATTCATATGTATGTTAGTCTATAAGCTATTTATAATATAGGCCTAGTAGCCTGGAATAAATAAATAAATAAACAATAAAATAGACTCTATAAATAAAATAGCGAGGACTAAAATCCGACTTTCATCGGTATACCCTAGCTTCGGGGTATAAATATAAATTGAATAATTATTTGCTGAAGAAAGTTAGTAAGTTATGCTAGATCTTAATAATATCTCAGGACAATTTAAAATGGGCCACCTAGTCTCAAGATACGCGTAACTTGTATTACGGTTACTAGACAACTCATATAAATATCTACATTTTTGTAAATAGATATATAATATACATAGAAAAGACCTAGACAATTATCTTATGAATACATACTTATACCGTGCAAGAAATCGAACCAGCGACCATCTGGACGTAAGGCGGTGAGCTAAATCGCTAGATCATCGTCGACGTCAATTTTATATGTAGACATGAGATTTTAAAGAATGATTTTCTAATAATTGCAGGTATTTCTAATTTTAAAATTACAATTATTAACTTGGTGACAATGAGAACGACTCGGGAGTATAAAAAAGAAATTTGAAAATTAGTCCACATTTCGAAGGTTTTGATGAATAAAATTACAAGTATAACATAAGATCTAACATAGAACTAGAGATTTCAATTAGATAATTTAGTTTTCAGTAGGTTAAAGAGTTTATAAATTAACACGATTGTTTTATTAGTTAATCCATTACAAATATTAACTAAAATCTTTATAATATCAGTTTAGATAAATGACCGTTTCATTGTGTAGAGTTAACAATATTATATTTAACTTGGTGATAAAGACTGACTCGAGAGTATAAAAAAGAAATTTAAAAATGAGTCTAACATACAACTGGAGAATAAAATTAGAGAAAACTTAACTTTCTGTAGTGTAAAGAGTTTTTAAAATAGCATAAGTGTTTTAATAGTTAATCCATTACAAATAATAACTGAAATCTTTATGACATCAATTTAGATAAGTTACCTTTTCACTGTACAGTTAACAATATAGTTATTAAGAATGATATTGTTTTGTCAACTTGTCACTATAAAAGATTATCACGTACTGACGAGATTGTACTGTACAAACCTTATATATACACATTGTTTAGTTATTTAAATTATATATCAAGGTAAATATCTATGTATGTCAAATATATCCATGTACAGCGAAACGTATATTGAAATCTGCAATAACGTTTTAAAAGGAAAAGAAATAGAAATAGAAATAATCTTTATTCAAATAAACTTAACATAAGCACTTTTGAGTAGTCAAGTTTTTTTTTATTCTACCGCTTATTCAGATTGCAGATTCATCACAAGAAGAATAAGCAAGAAACTTGTGTGTTGCTCTTTTAAATAAATACTAATTTATTTATATTTAATTAATAACAAGGATTAGGCTTGCGACAATCGACATAGAAACCGCTACGCTACTATTGAACAGAGATTAAGTATCTCTGTTCAATCAGATAACATTGTCAGCACTATGAATTTAAGTTACATATTTTCTACAAAAACATTATTATCATTTATAAATTCTTCAATTTTATAATAAGCTTTTTTACAAAGACATATTTGAATTTTTTTCTGGCAAATTGACTACAAACTCTGGGAGTTTGTGGAATGGAATTGAAGTGAATGAAAGTGAAGTGGAATAAATTGGTGGAATGTGGGAGCTGGATATAAAATGTGTAAGCACAAGTGACCAACTGTGATAACAAAATATACGGGATTTAATTTATAAAAATTAATATCTATGTAAATTTAAATGTGCACAACATCATTGGATGTTTAGAAGAACGGACTTAATGTATAGTTTTGTAACTGTTTAATAAGTATTTCTTGTTCCACGTTTATTGAGTTAGGTTTGACCTACTTAGGTAGGTACTTCCGACTGATAGAGTAACACATATCGCGATGTAAGCGCTACTAGCTACTAGTAACAAATGTTATAAACGCGAAAGTGTGAGTATGGATGAATGGACGTTTGTTAGTTTCTCATGCAAAAACTATTGAACGAATTTTGGTGAAACTTAACTATAATATAGCTTATACAACAGAATAACATATAGGTTATAATGTATTTATATACTTGTTTTAGATAATATATATTTATCTAATTTAATATTATCAATCATAAACATGAATACAAATATTTCCGCCGATGGGAATCGAATTTGCACGTGATCATCAGAGGCACTTCGTTGATCCACCTACATCATCGAGAAAATATTCAAACGAAATAAGACAAACTTCCTTGTTTAAAGTAACAGTAAATATATATTATTACATATAATTCAGTATATTAAATAAATAAAAAAAAAAATTCTTTAATACCGGTGTCCTCCAGTGATAACCGGCTCAAACTGGAATGACGCAAATGAAGTTGTAAATTAATAAAAAAATGTTTGTTTCCAGATTATGTGTGAACAAACGGACTGTACAATGTGTGAATTGTTTATGTAGGTATATTGTTTGTGCAACTACAATGGTAATTAAATATAAGGTTAGCCGTATGGTATATACCTTAAATATGACGTGAAGCAGCAACGAGTGTGTTCATATAGGTAGATATAGAATAAAAATGCCCGTTCCACTCTTTTATAGCGTATTTATTTAATTCAGACTGCATGGCCCATAGTACTAATACCTTTTAGACTAACATAAATATAAAATAATAATAAAATATAAATATAAATTGTATGCTATATAAAATATCATATAATTTAATTAGTATTTTGATAACTATAAGTTATTTTCTGATCTATTTTAAATGTATACAAAGATTAAATTTTCACTCTCTTTATAGAAGACTTACCCTCTGTTTCTTTTACCACCAAAAACACTATAACAATTTTACTTAGATATATATGATACAACAAACAACCGTTCCGTATGTCTGTCTGTCCGTCAATACAGTACAGTACAGTACGGATTGTTCAGTTTATTGGCGTCATTCCGTGTTAATTATCATCAATAAGAACTGATACCGCCGCGTGCTATTGACGCAATCATCAACAAAGTTGCCGGTTACTATGTGATCAATACAACAATGAGAGTTCATTTATTAACTTTAAATTTATTTACTCCTGTTACATGGTTTTAATAAAGATTATGTGCCTGCCTACACACGTCGGTTAAATAGAAAATTGGCAATATTCAACATGTATTTATTTTACAAGACAAGCATTTAAAGTTTTTTATTAATTTATTTAAATTATTTTTCCTTTAAAGTTTTATATTTACACAGAAGTATTATATATCATTTTAAAAGTATTTAGATAATGATTAAGATTAAGATAATGATTAATTATATAAAAGGTGGCAATTCTAGCTTCCAATTTTGAAAAATGACATTTTTATATTTAATCGACATTGTAACATTTCTGTCAACACTTGAGACCCTTCCATTAGTTTATGTCTCCACTAACATAGATTTAAGTTAAATATAAAATGAATGTACATTCTGACTCCGCGTCGAGTGTACGCATTACTAATAAGTCATGTAACACACTACCAATAAACTTACTAATGTACAATAAATAGTACATTTCACCAATATACTCATTAACATACTACAATAAACAATATATTATGTAGCGACACCTCATCACAACATATATAACAATACAGTGGTGAGGTGTTACCAACGGCGCTACAATTAATATAGTTCCTATTACAACATACATAATATATCAACAAACCCGTGGAAGGACTTATGGAGCGGCTGAAGGCCGGACGAACTACTGTGACCTCCTTCCAAGATGTCCCTCGCCTATGCATAGATCGATAACCGCCGGCCCATCTCTGCGGGTTCCCTGAGGAACCCACCACTAGAAGAGAGGACTCTTCTTCTCTGGGGAAGCCGCGCGGGTTACCTCGGCATAGGCCGCCGGAATTTCGTTCCCCGTTTGAATTAGACGAGGGATCGATCGGAGCAGATAAACACAGCTTCCAAAAGTAAGCTACGTAGCAGCTGAAATAGGTGAGAAACACCCTCCGATCGATCCCCCGACCAATTCAAACGGGGATCGATATTACGACGGCCTGAGCCGTAGTTCGAAGTTTCCCTAGTGGTGCCCTCAGACTAAAGTCGTATCTGTCAGGCGGAAGTTGGCCTTCAGCCGCACCATAAGTCCTTCCGCAGGTTTGGAATGCTATCTGCTCTCGCCCTCTATCGTCCGGTGAAGCTGTAAAGGCCAGCTGCGGCCATAAGTATTAGAGTAGTCCGAATAAAAAAAAACAAAAAAAAAGATGAGAAACTTATTATAGTTCTGTTCCTTTTCATGAATTACCCGAAGTAAATTAAAAAGTTAATTTATCGATGTAATTCATGCATTAAACATTTTTAGCGACTAAATAATGCTATTATTTATGTTTGTGTTCTGTAACAAGGCTGAAGAGCATTCAATAATCATTTTAGTATGAATAGTGGAACAAATATATCGATGCATAATACTTAGTCTGCATACGCATTAATACATTATTGTTCTATTGTTAGATCAATAGATGGCGTTGTTTTGTTTTATTTATACAAAGTTTCCTTATCGACGTCGTAAATTGTTAAATTGTAATAGAATTTTATGTAGGTAGGGTTGCCATCCGTCCGGGTTTCTCCGGATTTATCTTAGTTTAGAGGAGAGCGTCCAGTGTATATTCTATTTTCTTAGATACATTTAAATGTATCTAAGAAAACAGAATATTATACATTGATGATAAAAGATTACTACATTTAATTATAAGGTCTAAAAATGCACTGAGAAACCTGTTGATATGTCCGGGTTGTGGACTCTAAAATCCGGGGTTTTCATGCGTCTTGTCCCAGTTTCAAAATTTTAAAGATGGCAACCCTATATGTAGGTCACGTTCAGCAGTATACAATGTAAGATTGATCTAACTAAAGCCTCTGCTAATTATAGTTTGAGACGATGATGTCATTATTTAGTTATTACTGTAATAATGCGTAATACACACTTGTCTTGAATGACTTGTTGCTAAGTCAGAAATACGCTGGACTAATTGAAAAGTGCACGACAATACTACACTAGCAATTACTTTGACCGCAAGCATTTCTTTGTTTTATGTAATTGATTTTATATTGTTATAATTATTAATTGTAATTTAGTTTACAAATTACATTTTAATTTATCAATTGTAACTTAATTTATTAATTGTAATTTAAATTATTAATTGAAAATTATTAATTGCAAAATAATTTGTAATTTAATTTAATTTATCAATTGTAATTTATATTATTAATTGTAATTGATTAATTGGAATGGCAAAACAACTAACGCTCTCTGATGACAAATGATAACCATCGCCAATGTACATGAACAGTACTATGGACATCACGTTATCATGTGACGCCCATGACACCATTCCTGCGTATCCATTCCAGAGTAGTCTGATCTAATGGCTTAATATCCTGTAATTTAATCCAGCCTTATCGCAATCTTCAACTGAAACACTACATCTCGGAGACATTCAGTATAAAGCTATAATTTTAAATTATTGTTTTTGTATTTATTAATTTATTGTTATTTTAGTATTAATTATTCGATGTTATTTATTAAGTTTTAATTTGATTTTAATTGTAATTTATATAGACCATCCATACCATCGAATGTTAAAAAAATTTGAAATAAATTAATAGAAAGCGATACACCGCTTACAAGTTTTATTTTCAGAAACATGGCTTCAAATAAGTTTCTATGAAAAAATATTTATAAAACCAAATATGTTTTACTACATGACTAGTAACCATGAAAATAAAAATAATTAAAATATATTAGAAATACAAATGTCGTAAAGTACAAAACACAAGAAAACTCAGTAATTATTGCATGTATCACATTTATTAATCAATCTTTATCACAGAATTTCAGAAATGATCACAACGTTTACATAATCAGCACACATAGATGGCAACATAAAAAAATACTGGTATACACCTTAAATTTAAATTATTTAATCATTTTTACACAAACTTTCAAATTGTTTATTAATTTACACACATTCATAAATTACAATTACAATTTCGTCATTTTGTATTTATTATAGTAAAACTTAAGTATTAAAATAACTTACTATCACTACAATAATTCTAATATCTAATAATAATAATATCTCAGAACAATACTCACAGGGCCATCTAATCCCACGCTAAGCAGAACTAGTCTTGTGGGTACTAGACAGCTTATATAAACATATAGAAACATTATTTTTGTAAATACATATATAATATACATGATAAACATTCAGACCGATACAAACAATTATACACATAAATACAAATGTTTGTACTGTGCTAGGAAAATCGGTCATTGATATTAATTTCAGATTGCGCCACAACACTATTTAAGAATCGTAAAAAGCACATATCTTAGAGACAAATTTGACAGTAGTACCTATGTAGCCATAAGTTAATTAATATATAATATTATATATAGAAAATATGGAAATAAATCTATAGAAAATAAAATTACATTATAGATAAAGCATAAATTCTAATTTTTGTTTGTTGAACAAGATTAGAATACAATAATTACAAATGAAACAATAAAATATTAATAATAATAATTTATACTCAAAATTCAAATATAAGTATAAATTTATTTTCTTAATAAATTTATATTTATATTTGAATCGTTTTATATATTGTTAATTATCTTTTTTTTTAACATTTTTTCACTATTTTTTCACAAAAATATAATAAAAATTGTTTCGTTTTATTATATTTTTGTGGCAAGAATATTTTATTAATAAATTTATACTTACATTTGAATCTTTGAAATGTTTTATATATTTTTAATTACCTTTTTTTTAACATATTTTCACTTATTTCGGAATAATGTCATGGCTAGGGCATTATTTCGTTTTATTATATTCTTGTGGCAAGGTTTAATAATTAAATTTATATATTTTTAAATATCTTTTTTGAAACATATATTCATTATTTAAACATATACATTAATGTCATGGCTAAGGCGTTATTTTGCTTTATAAACACAATCATTTTGGCAATTCGATTATAATTTTAGTTAGAGTTATATTCAACAATAAGTACTTAATTATTTTGATGTCTCATACATCTACAAATTCTATATGCTATATATGTACAAGTATCAAAATTATAGGAAATGTAGTTTTTGTACTATTATTAAGGAACTAGCTGACTCGTGCAACTTTGTTTGCATGTTTCATGCAGACAAAGTAGCTAGACATTTATCATTACATATCACCCAATTTACATAATATAAAATACATGTGTTATTTTGATGTCTAAGCTATATATTACTGTAAAGTTTTATCAAAATCCGTTTAGTAGTTTTACGTGAAAGAGTAACATTCATCGATCCATACTTACAAACATTCGTGTTTATAATATAAGATATATGTTTACTTACATAGATATATCTTTAAAATGTACATAAATTTATGTTTATTTCATCTTTGAAATGAGAGTCGCGAAAATTGTATTTAATTTAGATTTTAAAGATATTATTACGAGATTCAATATTATATAGATAACTAGAGTTCATACTTCATTTTATATTCAGTGAAATTCATACGGCTTCGCAAGTATGAATTTCATTTTTTTTAATTTCTCGGCTTGTTCTATACTATAACACGCATGTATTATACATATAAACCTTCCTCTTGAATCTTCCTCATTAATTATATATTTTAAATCAACTGTCAATTAAAATTTATTATCACGCTTATATATTTACACAAGTAAAAAAATTACATCTCTCATCATCACAAATTACATCTCATCAGAATTGATTATTTTATTTTAATACAAAGGGATTTTTCGAAGATGACTATTGCATGATCCAGTGACTTTTGTGTGACTTTTGAAGATACCTTCCTACAAAATGATTAATTTAATTTCATTAGAATGGTATATAATATTTGATGATTCGCTACATCATTTAACGACGCAAACTAATAAAGATTACGTAAGAGATATCTTACTTTGTAATCTATCAAACAGACATTACAAGCATTAAGTGCGGAATGTTTTTAAGACATATAAAACACAAACATAAAATATGAAGAATGAAGAAATGCTATAAGGCAAGTTATAAAAAAAAAACATGTGACTACTTACAAGAAAGAAGAAATAATACTATAAGAAAATTAGAGAAGACAAAAAAAATCTAGAAAAATATTAGATAAATTATATATTAGTTGTATAAAAATCTTTCTCTGCACCACTCATGGTTGCCTGGTAGATAACGCCACATGGTATTAAGTCCGACATATGTACAAATTGTTTTTGTGTATTAAAATTAAATAAATAAAAAATAACGTAAAACAGAAAGTAGAGACTACTGCAAAAATAATGATCTTTCGTAAAATATGGTATAGGCAGGGTTAAATTGACCAAAATTTGACCTTGCCTTTATTTATTTAACTTTAATGCACAAAAACAATGTGTACATATGACGGACTTAATACCAAGTACAATAAAATAATTAATGCACTAAAAAAATTGATACAGTAGAGAATAAATACAGACGTAACTAGTGCATACTGCACTGCTATTAATATATGCATAAAATCAACCTTAACCTATAAAAGTATTCTGTACCAATAAAATATTTAACCCTTAGTTCAAATACTCTATTGACATGAATTACTGCATCGATATAGCGATATAGCGTGTCTATAAAGTCATAAATAACTCGATATAATTTCAAATACTAATGAAAACCTTTTTCAATTGTAGGTATACTAGACTTTTCACGCGGATTTACCTGCGCTAAACATATCCTGAGCACTGTCATAGATAAAATTTCTTCCTTCCTCCCTCTTGGTCAAATTTGGTAAAATCATCCCCCGCAAGATTTAGTTATCCAATATATTTAAGATATTTATTAGGAACTGTATAATATAATCGACATACATACATTTTAAATGAAATTACTGATAAACTATTTTCAAGAGACTTTGTGAGACTTTGTTGTCCCTTTTTGAGACTATTTAAATTTGTTTATATTTTGAGAGAGTTTCCTAAATACTCTCTAATCGTAGTTATTTGTTGCTAATCTCTTATCTATCTATCACTTTTAGTACTATGTAATTTAAATTGTTTTTATTCAAGATTATGTTTGAGATAAATTTTGATTTTGTAATATTCTGTTGTATAACAGTCACATTTTTGAATTTAATTTGAATTCAAAGTTCTAATTAAATTAAATGTCACACTAACTTCTAATATCTCAACTTGTCAATCTCTCATGCTTCTATCATTTTAGTAACAATTTCATACAAAATATTATATTTACAGGATTATTTGTGTGATTCTGTTGGATACCAATCAAATTACAATAATAATAATTTTGAATGCAAGTTTTAAATTAGAGAAAATGTCGTTCTAGCTTCTAATGCCTAAACTTGTCAATCTCTTATGCCTCTATCATTTTTGTCAACAATTTAATTAAAATATTTCTCACGATCACCCATTTCATGAGATGTTGGAATCTATAAAATTTTGAAATTTATTTGCAATTCAAAATAAGTTTTAATTAAAATAAATGTCATTTAACTTCTAATATACAAACTTGTCAATCTTTGAAACCTTCATCATTTTTGTTAACCATGGAAATATCAGGATTACGTTACATTAAAAATTTTGTGTGACTCGGCTGGATATCATTCAAATTTTGAGACTTCGATCTTGTATCTCTCAATCCACTATCAAATTAAAAAGTTTTACACTCTTAATCTAGTCAATCTCTCATACCTCTATCATCTATGCTACCAATTCAGTTGGAATAGTCCTTATAATTATAAATTAAATTAGAGATTTCTTTCCATTTTGTAGTTACAAATCTAAATTTTGAAACGGCACAAAAATCTTTATTTCTAACATATAAAATTGTGAATACCAATTTTACTAACAATTTAATTGGGATTCCTCCTCGAGTACAAATTATATTTAGTGAGATTTGGTCGAATAGCATGCACATTTTGAGACAATTAAAAGTTTTTTACATCCAAACTTCTAATATCTAAATTTATCTGCAATCTCTCAATTTGCTGTCAATTTAATTGAACGATTATCCATAAAATTACTTTTCAAAATATTCAAACCATATTTTCTTTCCTTTCCTTACTGGTTTCTCTTTTATTGGATCCAGTTTTAGTCTTGACCGAAGCTCGAATCGAGGCCCTTATGGACGCTCTGGAACCTATAGTACTGGGTAGTGCTCTGACGAAGTTGTCAGGTTCATTGCGACTGCTAACTGAATGACGCTTCACGTAACGTCCAGGATTGTCGTCATCTTCTACTCTTTTTCTGGAAATTTTATAATAATATTTTATTGACAGCCTCAGTAGTCTAACGGTTTAGCACATTACTTTACTTCCGATGGTCGTGGGTTCGATTCCTCGCACGGTACAAATATTATGGGTATAATTGTTTATATCGATCTGGGTGTCTTTTGTCGTGGGTTCGATTTCTCTCACGGTATAAATATTATGGGTATAATTGTTTATATCGATCTGGGTGTCTTTTATAAAAATGATAATCTTTATTTACTTCTCGCAAGGAAACTTACAAGATACACATACATTTAAACTGGAGTTTGAACTAGGTCGCAACCTGTACTATAGATCTCTAAGCTCTTTCCAGAACCTTCCAGTATAATATTGTACGTCTTAAAAAAATATTAAAAGATCTGTTTTGTGAAGTAAAGTTATACCTACAATTTTTAGTTTGAAGTGTGGAGTATATGATAGTCAGTCTTCGTGTGTGTGTGACTGTGTGTGTGTGTGATTGTGTGTGTGTATGTGTGTATGTGAGTGTGTGTATAATACCTTGAGTTTTCTATTTTTATTATGTATGTATTTACAAAAATATCTAATTATAAACGCAGCTATTAGATTGTTTAATTTCCAGTTACTTAAAAAAAATTGAAAGTGTTTTTAATAAGATAATATGACTTACTTAGGGAAGCAGGGCATGTCCCAAAACCTTTGGTCCTTGCCGAAGTTCTCTCCATCTTGCAGAGTCTGCGGCATCTCCGTGTCCATGGTCTCGGGCAGAAACAGGCACAGAAGACCTCCGATTATACCCAAAATGCCAAGAATAAGGAGAGGAAGATCTTGAGAAATGTTGGCCTGAAAAAAATTTTTTTTTACATCACAAGGGACAAGCTCGCTCGTGGTTCACTTGAAATAAATTTGTTGTTATTACGGCCAATTAAAGGCGTAAATAAATAAAGTTAATAAAATAAAAAAAAATTGCCTTTGGTAATTTTTTTTTATTTTAATAATAATACAATTAAAAGTTATTTTTTATTATAAATACTAACACACAGTTCTGCAAAATGAACACACACACACACACACACACACACACACACACACACACATATATTCATACATACACACTCTCATTCACACCAATGCTCACCTTTTCGATTATACATCCACAAATTTATTCCCTAAACACAAGTCCTATAGCTATTAATACAAAGGGTAAACATGTAAAATGAACACACACACAATAATAAGTCACTCTAGTCTCTACAATACAGGCCTGCGAGCCTAGTGTAGAACTACAGTAAATTAAAATGTAAATGTGTATCATGAATAAATATTATTATTATCATTCTTTATTTTTTCTCAGCTTTTGCTGGTTTTCTCCACACTTACGGGCCGAAACCAAGTAAGTGGAGAGTGTGTGTATGTGTGTGTGCGCGTGTATGTATGCGTGAGTGTGTGTGTAGTTATTGTGTGCCTGATGTGACTGGTGTTATATCATTATTATTATTATTATTATTATTACATATATATATATTTATTATATCTCCCTTTTTACGGGGGTAATATATTCAAACACGCGGGCCTTAGCCGAGCATGGATGAGTTATGTGATGAAGATAGATTATTATTATTATTATTAAATACTAACGAGATAAACGACGAATGGTGCTACAATAGAGGCGACGTAGCCCATTATATGTATGAGGGCGACGCCCTGCGCCCTCACCACGGTCGGCAGCAACTCCGCCGCATACTGCAGCCCGATGTTGTACGATATGTTCACGGCGAACCGGCCGAGGATGGCTAGAGATGCTGACGGACCACCTGTTAAAATATTAAAATAAAAGGTATATATATATATAATATTATAATTTATAATAATATTAATATATAATATATCTTATTAATATTCTAAACGCAAAAGTTTGTAAGTATGAATGGATGTTTGTTACTCTTTCACGCAAAAACTACTGTTCGTGTTTTGATGAAACTTTACAGTAATATAGCTTGTACATCGGAATAGGCTATAAATTTCACGCGGGTCATATCGCAGGTATAGTTAAGTAATAAATAAATAACCTGGACAATTATTACAGCACCATCTAGTCCCACGGTAAGCAGAGCTGGTGTTATGGGTACTAGACAACTGGGACATGGCAATTTACCACGATGGTTTCCAAGGGGACCAAGAACCAATTAGTTCTTAGTTGGCAGTAAATTTCTTTTTTTTTCTTTTCTAATATACACAGAAAACTGCCAGATCATTACAAACAGTTCTACGCTTGGTTACGAATGTTTGTATCGTGCATATAATCGAATCGAAATTGATCGAATTTTTATAGAAAAACTTTAAATCCATAGCACTGACAATATTATCTGATTACACTAATAATGAGTGCGTAGCGATTTCTATGTTGATTATCGCATGCCTCTTACTTGTTATACTGAATTATTTATATAAATAAACATCTATTAAAAAGAGCAACACACAAGTTTCTTGCTCGTTCTTCTTGTGATGAATCTGCATTCCGAATGAGTGGTAGAATCAAAATATGACTATTCAAAAGTGCTTGTAATGAGTTTATTTGAATAAAGATTATTTCTATTTCTAATCTGCGACCGTCGTAAGGATGGCGGTGGACAAAACCGCTAGACTACCGAGACTTGACTTTCCACCAAATTATTTATGTATTATGAATGGTAAATTCCTTTATAATGGTGAATATAAGGATAGTAATAAGAGTTGTGCGGGGTGAAGGGGGTTGTTACTGGAGCGGGAACACAACTAATATTTTAATAAAATCCAAATATTAGTAAAAATGTATATTATTCCCAAAAGGGCTCACAGCGAGAAGAAAACAAAACAATATATAATATAGAATAGTCAAAAGTGACGTATAAAAATATAGATATAAAAATATAAAGTTTATAAAAAGAATGATAGACAAGCTGCCAGCAACAGGGGTTGTTGGTAATGTGGATTAATAACCCCATTGCTAACAATGTCCCTTGTCAGGTTGACCTCCACGCGGTTACTGCTGGAAAACATCAGTTTAAATTCCTGGTGAATTTGCCACTAAGGGCTAACTGGCCTGACCTTATACTATCATCCTCCACTGGTGCCCCGCCAGCGTAAACCGTTAGGTGCATCATTTCAGAAAAAAAAGTTGTGTTGGATATCACTGACCTACAGGGACAGCAGTCGCCAGCAGACTGAAGATACCACTAATTACCATAGATCCACAAGCCAACCATCTTCTGCCCCATCTGAGAACAACATATTGGTAATTATTTCACCATAATTTTCACGTGCATTATTTTTTTTATTGAGTTGTTTGGGCTATTCTCAGGTGCCTGTAGCACCTGTAGCACTGCGACCTGCATAGATCTATTGTGCTCGTCCTTTTTCAGGGTTCGCTACTTAGACCCGTCAGGGACAAGCATTGAAGGATATTCTTAGGAGCGATGGTTTTTATCTCCTCGGGAAAGAGTGTAAACTTTCCTAAGGAGATATTTCGTTTATGCATGAGTGGGCTACAACCACATAGGATGTGTACGCCACTACGTTTCCTCTTCAGTTTGGCAGAATCTGCAGATTTTTGTTGTGATTATATAGGCCTAGTTCTGCCATATGTTTGTTTAATTTGCAGTGTCCTGTGAGGGCCCTAGTCATCATGCATATGTTGTTTTTACTCAATAGCAGTAGTCTATTGGAGTATTTGTTCGAGGAGCCCGAGTTTTTGTTCACGTGCACTACCTAATAGAACTATATTATGTAATTGGAATAGCAGAAGAATAAGTTGAGTAAATATTAATGTATAATTAGGATATTACAGGTAACAAGGTATCAGGTGTAATAAGTAGTATATAAGAAAGAAAAAATAATCATTACATAGTATAAACTAAAGTCGCTGTCGCTGTCTGTCCGTCTCTATGTATGCTTAAATCTTTAAAACGCAACGGAATTTGACGCATTTTTTTAAAATAAGGGATGGGAAGCCGGGGCGAATAGCTAGTAAATAAATAAAAAAAAGGAATACACATGCAGGATGACAATAATAAGACATAGACCAAAAGGATGTCGCCACAAAGGAAGTGACAGATATTACTTTAACCATAAAAAAATAGCAAAGAATCTGACGGTAAGTGGTAACTGTCATATACATGTGATACCCTTGATAGCTCACATGCGTTGCCATTCTGGACGACTAAGTCTTGCACTGTAATATTACTACCATAGCTCACCCTACAACCGACTCACATGTTACAAAGTAAGCAAGATGTTAATGGATAATTATAATATTCATAGGCTATAAGAGCAAAAACAAATTGCTTTGGTGATGATGACTAGTCATCCGCATCCTAAGGGGATGAAGGTGCCTTTGCCCCGGCATCGATTCCGGGTCAACAACTTTTTATATATATATATATATATATATATAACGCCACTGTTATGCTAGCATGATACAGTATTTATGGCAACCCCAATCTACTTTCTTCCAATAGTGGCGACAACCGATATTTTTATTATTCCGTTAATAAAACATACATATATATATAAATTATAGATATAGTATTTAGTCAGGCAGACTTACAAGATTTATTTGATTTACGAATCGCAAAACGCTTTGTGGAATAATTCGTTAAAATAAGTAATTGGTTGTACCTATAAAAGCTTATAAAGACTACAAAAATAAGATAAAGAATGAGTTGTAAAATGAGAGGAGTTACAGTAGAAGAAGAGAGGCAAAAGAAGACTGCAAAGGTAATTTAAAGAATTGATTAAACGCCGAATATGCAGCGAATAAGGAGAATCCTTCTGGCTGCGCTTGTAAGGGTGCAAATATCACAGATTAAAGAAGTAGGTAAGTATCTACGTCATTGTTCTGTGGTTAAAATACTCACCTATCTAACACAGCAGTCAAGAACGTATCTGCAGGCAATTCCGTAGCCGATGCAATCGTGAAGGTTAAGAAGATGTCCAAACCCAAAGACCCAACATTCCTCACGTGGCCATCAAAGACCAATGAGATGGCCATCCATATGATGATGAGAAGAATTGCGTTCCGCCTCAACCGCGGAGTTTTGAAGAGATCCAGAACGGAATATGTTCTGCATTCTGCTTCTGAGTCTTTGATAGTTTTAAGGGAGGATTCCTGTTGAAAATAATAGGTTAAATTGATAAATGTAAAAAGTAGCACTAGTGCAATTAAATACCAATAAAAAATAACTTTTTGCCCTTATTAAAATTATTAATTTTGCAAGAGAATGTTTATATAATAAAGATATTTTTGCAAAAATTCGATTGAATGAAGTAATTATTTGTTTCTCCACAAATTTAAACATATGTATAAAACAGCAATCAACAATATTTTACTATAAAATTTGCAGGACCCTAAACAAGATCGAAGATCTGTATTGGTTAGGAATACCATCTCAGATATAATCTAAACAAGAAAAGAAATAAGATAATATAAATGGCAATCCAGTTCATCACCCATGGTGATAAAAGTTTATGTGATCGATTAGGTGTTATTTTGCGGAAGTCCATTTCATTAATGTATTTATATTATTTTATTTAATTCTGATATCATTAGCATGTGTGAGATCACAAATACTAAGTGCGGAAGTGACCAGTATTGACTGTTCAGCGATCAGACTATGACTCAATGTAGAACAGTCAACACTAGTCTCCCAAACTATATCCCAATTCACTAGACTACTAACAACCATTAAAAACAAATGTTAGTACCGTGCGAGGACTCGAACCCGCAAACATCTTAATCTAGGCGGTGATCTAAACCACTAAACCATTGAAGCCGTTAATAAATTTATTTAAATTAAATATCATCTCCTCTAAACCTCAAGTGCACAGTACATACCGCAAACTCGCTTAGCACCTTCTCAGGAATTTTGGTCTTGTTTATTCTTTCAAACTTTTTCATGATAGTAAGCGCCTTGTCGATCTTGCCTTGTGATACTAACCATCTGAAACATAAAATATATATTTATATATATTAATAATGATTTCATATACTAAATAACGAGCACAGAATCGCGTAGAATGGAGAGAGACGAAGAGATAATAATAATAATGTTAGTCAAATCACACAGCGCCATCTAGTTCTAAGCTAAGCAGAGCTTGTGTTATGGCTAAGTATTAGAAAACTCATACAAACAAACAGATATTTTTTTAAAACATACATAATACACATAGATAACACCCAGAATAATACAAACAATCATACACATGAATCTTTGCCCCCGTGCGAAAAATCGACCCGCGATCATCGGAAAGTAATGCGGTATGTTAAACTGCTAAACCACTGTGGTCATCTAAATAATATTTAAATAAGAGGTCGCAAGCCAAAACGTTGGACGGCAGTGGTAGATAGCCTGGAACCACCCAGACCAATATAAACATACTCATGAATACAAATGTTTGTACATTACGAGGAATCGAACCATTGACCATTTAATCTAAAACGGTGTACTAAATCGCTAGACAACTGGATATTGTGAATGAGGGACTGAATATAGAAATATACTATTTTTTTATTAATATCTAGGAGCTTAATTAGTTGATGTCACAATTATGACGATAACCAAACTTTGAACTCACCTAGCGCTCTCTGGTACGAGCCAAGGGGTCGCCGCAGCCAATATGAATGGTAGACTGGTGCCAATGGCAAACCTTCTCCAATCATCAGCCCATAATGCTATCCAAGGCAGCAGGGATGCGGCCAGCGTGAAGAATAACGCTATTGACATGTTTGCTACGAATGTACGCCATTTGGGGCCGACGTATTCCAGTACTGGAAATTAAAAATAGACTTTGAGATAGCAATTTGATGGCAGAGTCCGTACGTAGGCAGATTTTGTAGGTCATCAGCGTTTGGTACGTTTTTACGAAGTTCCTCTCTTTAAAATAAGTAGTACCAAATGCTATATACCAAACAGAAAGAAAAGTCTTTTGTAAAAGTTTTTTTTATATATCACATATAGTCATTGAATAGAGTTCGGATATAGCTTGGAAGCTTAGTTAATTATTTTTGGAATTAAACAAAATAATATATATCCATTAAATAATGATAGAGACTTCAGAAAAATAACAGGTAACGTGATAAAATTAATTTTGGTATTATAACTAAGAGAACAGTATGGTTATTATATATACCTAGGATATACATCATGGTGAAACAATTATCAAAAGCTAAGCCCACCAGAAATCGACACAACGCAAATGACCAGAAACTGTCACAGAACGCTGTACCAATACCAGCTGTGAAGCCGATCAGGTTTGTTCCTGGAAACAATAAGAAAAAAGAATATTTAAAGAAAGAAAATATGTTTAAAAAAGTACATTATGTTATATATTTGTTATAACTTTACATTTTTAAGTTGAAATGTATGAATACAAACTACCAAATAGCACTTTTTTGGTTGATGATAATGGAATGGTGCACCTGCCTGCTCGGCGGTTACTAACGGTTTACTCTGGCGGGGCAACAGTGGAAGATGATAGATGAATATGAGGTAAGGTCAGTCCATCATGAGAATCATGAGGTCAACTAGAAATGGTACTTTACTAATAATAGGGTCAACAGTCAAATTACTAAAAATTCCCTTCTCACCAACTAACTAGCAGTAATTCGTTAGAGGCAAAATGTTAATTACACTATCAACTGGTTGAGTAACTGAATACACCAATCACAGATAACCAGGTGATTATATATATAGACTATCGATTTTAACGTACAGTAACTATGTACAGTGGTTTGCGTTTCGAGTTCTGGGGTTCTTCAAACGGTGTCACATCTACTTTAGTTTTAGTTAGATACTAAAAATGTAATATATAATTATAAATGTAAATTATCTTAAAATTCATTTGGTTTTTATGCTTGCTTGTTGATATGACTGCCGTAATTTCCATGACCATGGTAGTAAAATGCCAAAACATCGCCAACTCAATAAAATTTTTGCCATCTATATCATCATCATCTACAGGAAAATTATGTTTATTTCAAGATCGAAATATATACTGAATTTAATATATACTATGTTGAAATTTGATCCAGTACTTATACTTATGATAGAAGATCGTGGAAGGTGGCAAGAGCTCTACCGACAAGAGCTCAGCTCTTAAATTATGAATTAATGAACTTATGCTTATATCAATCTTACCAACTAGAGCTGGTATTCTTCCATATTTATCTGCTATCCAACCAAACACCAGACCTCCAACTATGGCACCGCAGAAGAATATGGCCTGAGCTGTTGCTGGTAGGTTGTCCTTTTCGCACACCCAGTCCAGCTAAAAGTGTGAAAGAGAAAATAAATTTTAGAAGAGCATTCATCAAGGATGGATCGAATTATTTGGAAAGATAATGTAAGATATGAAGATGTTTTACTTAGGTTGAAAGACAAAAGGCAGATATTGAATACTTTAGAACACAGACGAGGAAAAATTTCAGGACATACGGAACGATGAATTTACGAAAATTATTATTGAGGGAAAAATAGAAGGAAAGAGGGGGAGGGGAAGATTAAGATACAGCTACATCAGGCAAATTAAGGAAAGAATTGGAGTGGTGTCGTATAAATATTTAAAGAGCATGATGAAAAATCTGGGAAAGTGGCAAGAACTTCACCAACGACGCTGTTGACATTTGACAATGACTGTCTACTCCAACTGGGTTAATAGTTATGAAATTAAATATTTTGACGACTTCGGTGGTTTAGCACGCCGCCTGACTTCCAATGGTCGCGGGTTCGATTTCCCACATAGTCCAAATATTTGCATTAACGAGTTAGTATGTAAAATAATATGTCTAAGATATACATTATCAGTTGTCTAGCACCAACAACAATCTACTTAACTCAGGACTAGATGACTGTATGAATTTATTATTATTTATGTATATCAAGTCATGATACTCACCTGAGATGCAATGGTATCATATGGGACATCACTTCTATTGTACTCCCAACCGTACGCACATGGGACCACAGACCATCCGTCGTCGGGTGTCGTTCTGCCCTGGGCTAGAGCGGCGGTCCAATCCGCCGAGTACATATTACATCTGTCGTGGGCGAACGGCCCATCTGATTTGGGAGGGATGGCCAGGGCCCGTCTGTAATTTCAAATACACTAGTTAGACTATAGGAGATAAAAACAAAGCTCCTAAGAATAGTACATATTACATCTGTCGTGAGAGAACGGGACGTCAGATTTGGAAGGGATGGCTAAGCCCGTCTGAAATTTCAAATAGACACGTTACAGACTATATAGGAGGAGATAAAAACCATAGCTCCTAAAACTAGTACATATTACATCTGTCGTTGGGGAACGGGACGTTAGATTTGGGGGGGATGGCTAGAGCCCATCTGAAATTTCAAATACACAAGTTACAGATTATGAAATTTCTAAAAATAGTACATATTACACAAGACGGGATTTATAGCCCACTGAAATTTCAAATACACAAGTTACAGACTATAGGAAATCAAAACCTTAGCTCCTAAAAATAGTACATATTACATCTGTCGTGGGGGAACGTGACGTTAGATTTGGAAGGGATGGCTAGAACCCGTCGGAAATTTCAAATACACAAGTTATAGACTATAGGAGATAAAAACCATAGCTCCTAAGAATAGTACATATTACATTTGTCGTAGGAGAATGGCCCGTCTGATTTGGGAGGGATGGCTAGAGCCCGTCGGAAATTTTATATACACAAATTACACACTATATACTGCAAATTAAACAAACACATGGCAAACCTACGCCTATGCACAACTAAAATCTGCAGATTATACCATACTGAAGAGGCAACGCCACTACACATCCTATGTGGTTGTAGCCCACTTATGCATAAACGAAATATCTCCTTTGGAAAGTTTACGCTCCTTCCCAAGGAGATAAAAACCATCACTGATAAGAATATCCTTCAATTCTTGTCCCTGACGTGTCTAAGTAGCGAACTCTGAAAAAAGGCGAGTACAATAGATCTACACGTACGTCTGTAATTTCAAATACACAATTTACAGACTATAAGCGATAAAAACCATAGCTCCTAAGAATAGTACATATTACATCCGTCGTGAGGGAACGGACGTTAGATTTGGGGGGGATGGCTAGAACCCGTCTGAAATTTCAAATACACAAGTTACAGACTATATGAGATAAAAACCATCGCTCCTAAGAATATTCTATGAAGGTATAATTATTATCCCTTGCAAGAAGTTCAGCTAAATGTATTTGCAACACATTTACAGAAGTTTTTTATATATATTTTTTTTATTATATAAATATGTGTATACTTATATACTAAATTTTAATGTAAACTGTTAATGTTTATAAACAGGTTTGACTTTTGTTTCATTGTGTGTTCTTAAGTGGTTGACTTGAAATACTATATTGAGAATGCTGTTTGTATATACCTGAATTACCACACACAGAGCTAAGCCCACCCTTGGTCACATTTTATTTATAATAATATTATATTTTATTATCGCCTGGCCCGACCTGATGATTCAGACCATTCATCTGAATCAGCTGTTTTCGTTTTGGCCAACCTGTCTCTTACACCCAGTATAATAATAGTAATAATCTCAGGATAATTCACACAGCACCATCTAGACTAAGGTTAAGCTTGCTAAAGCTTTATGGGTACTAGATAACTGATACAAACACATAGATATTTTTTTTCGTAAACACATTGATATTATACGTAGAAAACACCCAGACCAACAAAAACAATCATACTCATAATGTTTGTGTCGTGCGAGGAATCGAACTCGTGACCATCGGAAGTAGGCGGCATGTTAAACCGCTAAACCACCGAGGCCGTCATATATGGATATTATAATCAGTTATCTATCATTGAACTTCCTGCAACTGTCAAATATAATTTCCTACATGACGCGAAATGTACAGGAAGAGCCTTCAGTGTAGCTTTCATTATTAATAACTAGGGTACAGTTGATACCCCAAAGGTCATGTTTTGTCCTGAACCAAATCTAACCAAATTTATAATTAAAATAATATAATAAACATGGCGGCGATATTTCTCGTTCTTTGTCTACATTTACATGCATATTTATATTCATATGCATGTAGTAAAAAACGGTTATTTCAATATTACAAATTGACACTCCAATTTTATTTATATGTATAGATAAAACTATAGCAAAATGATATATTCCTATATGCCATTTTGCAATAGTTTGGTATTGTACTGTATACTATATTGTATACCGCGCGAATCTCGGCTTTCACGCGGGAAAGATCGGACGTGTCGAAAGATCAGCTAATTATTGCAATATGGGAACCAATACAATACCAAACTATTGCAAAATAGCATATAGGAATATATCATTTTGCTATAGTTTTATCTATACATATAAATAAAATTGGAGTGTCAGTTTGTAACATTAAAATAACCGTTTTTTACTACATGCATATGAATATAAATACGGTACCGATTTTGACGAACTTTTTTTTGACAGGTAGCTGATATAAGAAGTTACTTTTATTTTAGAAAAATAAAGTTAAATTCCACGCAGACGTAGTCGCGGGACAGCTAGTTTAGAATGTATGTATATTGCAGTTCATTTGTATCCTGCCTTCTTGGTGCAATATAAACAGTGTTGTTTAATTTGATTTAATTATAAAACTAAATTTATAAATTATATTAATTACAATATCAATATAAAGAATAGTCGTATATTAATAAACAATAATTTATTATATGATTCTTCCAGTATAACTTTATAAATTATTTTCAAAATTTTGTGAATTTTGTTTATGCATATCATTCTATTTATTTTCATACACAAATAATAGATATAAAAGAAAAAAAACAACAATTTACACACATTAATACAGAGTAGATGTGGATCACAATTCAGCATAATGCATGGTAACATAGATAACACATAACTTAATAAAAAATAAAAAAGAGATAGTCTGAGCTGATATTATCTACTTGAGTCCATAAAAAAATATCTTAAATACATCATCTATTTTTTTTTGGTTCAATTTTTCCTATCTCAGGGAATGGCAAAAGGACTCAGCCTATACAGCCATTGTCTTCGGTAGCATCGTCTAACGATCACTTTCCCGCCAAAACATCCGTCAAAAGTTTGACAGTTGCTGTCATCGATCTGATATTTGTCGGATACAGATAAAAAATATTCATCCACAATTTATAATCGTCTGGCGACCTCAAAACAAAGGTCGAGTGCACAATAGCAAAAGGTTGTTGAATTTCGTGCAATACAGCCAGGGTCGTATCTAATCGAGCATTTAATTTGCCGGTATTACGTGGTAGTTCCGTATACTTTTTATGGCGAATATTAGTTTATTTCATCAGGTAGTGCCTAACGTTTCCTGTCCAATTAAAACACGAGCAGGTTGTATCCAGTATTTTATGAATGGTGTTTATTTTAATTACGTGTTGTTATTGTTGAAATCATCGGCCGGACATTGTTACGTACTCTGCCGGATCTGTAGTATTTTTGACAGAACTAATCATGGTGTTTTAAGAATCCGTAATAATAGAATAACAATAGACTGTTTTAAGTTTTTTATCTTCTTAGAGAAGCAGAAAGATTTTGTTTATGCATTTTTGTGCATTATTTTGCACCGTTGCTAATTGTCTATGATCTTGATGGTTCGTTTTACAAATATTATAAACGAAAGTTTGTGAGTGTGGTTGGATGATAATGGATGGATGTTTGTTATTCTTTCACGTAAAAACTACTGAAACTAAATAATTTTGATGAAACTTAACACTAATTTATCTATACATCAAACTAACACATAATTTTTTATGTATATTCTTGAAATTCTTCGGCATTATTATTGCGGCTTCGTTGGTCTAGCGGTTTAGCGGCGCTTTACTTTCAATGGTCGCGGGTTCGATTCCTCGCATGGTGTAAACATTTGTATTGATGACTATGAATGTATGATTATTTGTATCGGTCTGGGTGTTTTCTATGTATATTATGTATGTATTTACAAAATACGTATCTGAGTATTTATATCAGTCGTCTAGTACCCATAACACAAGCCATGCTCACCGTGGGACTACTATCTAGTCCTATGCTATGTAATTGTCCAGGGTTGTTGTTATTTATTGTTATTTACAAAATTTCTTACCCCCGGCAGAAGCACAGTCGGCCGGGGTTCAGGGCCCCAGGGAGAGAAACCGGCGTACAATGCGGACAGAAACTAAGAGCACCGCTTTCTGCATCCTTCCCGGCAGTAAGCAGCCTCGGAATTCCAACCGTCTGAGATGTTGTTCCAGACTGATTGGAATTATTATTATTATTATTATTACTATTATGATTCTTTTTCTCAACTTTCCTGGTTTGGTACGTTTGGCGTACCACATTTACGGGCCGAAACCAAGTGAGTGCAGTGTGTTTGTGTGTGTGTGTGTGTGTATTTGTATGTGTGTGTCGCGCGCGTAGATGTGTGTGTATGTGTATATATTTATGAGTGTTACGTATGACTAATTTATGAGTCCTGTGCGTCCATATCCATAAACTTTCTTACTATTCTGCAGGTATTTAAAATAGCAGCTTTTTGCAGGGTGATATAGATTATTATTATTATCCTTACTTACAATAATTCCAGTACTACCTACACGTTTTACAACATGTGTTTTGCAAATGAGATGTAACATAGTATCAGTGAAGAAATACTTAATAAATAGATTAATTATTTATAAATATCTCTATAATAATGTACGATTACAAACAATTATTAATAAAAATGTAACCTATGTGTATTTTAAATTCTTAGGTTTAGGGTTCCATAAAATGTAGTTGGGTTTTTTAATTCGCAATGGATTAGTATACATGTCTGCTCTATCGGTACACTTCGGTGTTGGACAGTATTGGATGATTATAGGATGAGCATAGGTCATGCCAGGTAACATGTCTTGGAAAATTGTTTAGAATTCTCAGGACCTAACAAGGTATATTATGAGCAATGGAGACCCAAATCCTCATTACTTACAAGAACCGTAACACTGCTTTCAAAATTATATATTATTTCTAATTCAAACTGACAAATAAGTAGCTTATATTAGAAACTAGCCACTCGCCCCGGCTGTATATGTAT